CTAAAAAAGAATTACTTCAAATTTTGATTTAACTTTAATGGAAATTTGGTTATAAACGAACCATGAGATTTATAAGAACAAAGTTGCTCACAATCTTTTTTTATAACAAATCGGTTTTCATTTCCTCCACAGCCTGTGTATATAAATTCTTCACATTGATTTGTATAGGTGTTATAATAATATCTTAGAAAAGCTTCTGTGCATGAACCGGAATCTAGTGGAAAAATACAAATTGGGTTTAAAATATCTAAGAAATTATAAATTCGGTCGGCAAATATTTGTGTAATATTCAAAAATAAACCAAATAAAATGTATAACTTTTTACACGAATTCATTTTCGATGTTAAATAACAATTATATCAATTAAATACGTCTTAATAAAAATGTGGGATGTTTTTAAAATAAAGTAATGTATAAATGTGATAAATGAATTAAAATTATTGGACATTGTTTCGAATTTAATAAATTACAAGAAAAAATAATCGTTTCAAGATGAATCTTTTAACATTAATATTAGTGTTTACATTTATTACATTTAGTTCGGGTAAAATTTCAATTAAATAAAAAAATCAGTCTATTAAAACAACATTTTTTAGCAATGAGTAAAGCATTTTGTTCTTTGCCACTTGATGATGGTTCAACAAAAGACGCAAATGGAAGGATAAAGGGATGTAAAACGCCAATCAAACTTTATTATTACGATACGGAAATGAAAAACTGTTATTCATTTAATTATAGAGGATGTGGTGGAAATGAAAACAAATTTACGAGTTATGAGGATTGCGTGGTTGCTTGCGCAGGAAAAAAGCGGAAAATAAAAGTTGATGAATATGTCGATTAAGTTGTTTTAACAATAAAAAATACCATTTAAAAACACCTACATTTTATTTAATCAACATTAAAACGCATCCTTTGGCCATTATTGTTGGTTTAAAATTGTTCTTAAAATGTTTTATTCAAATTGTTTAATTTTAAATTTATTGATTTATATCGGGAATGCAGGTAAGTTTTGATTAAATTAAAAAAAATAATAATCTCGGTTCTTTCTATTTTTCTTTAGAACCACCAAAAATATGTAAACTCGAACCAGACGCTGGATTATGTTTAGCATATTCCAAATATTTTTATTTCGATCATACAACAGGAAAATGTATACCGTTTGTTTATAGTGGTTGTGGTGGCAACGAAAATAGGTTTTTAAAAGAAGAAGACTGTATAAAAACATGTTTAGCAAACGATTTTTAATAAAAATGTTAAAATAAGTAACTGCGGTGATCTACACTCAACTTTTTCGCATTTTTATATAGCAGATTGATTATCAGCTGTTGATACAAAATCTAGAATTACAAGTTAAATTTTTGAACTATAACTTCTGGTTGGCAGACTCAACACAACTTGAAATTTTGAAGCGAAGTCAAGTCAATTCAAGTTATCTCCATGAAACAACCTAACATTGTACATATTCAAGCGCAAATCCAAACAGAATTCAAATTAATCCTCACCTAATCAATACAGGGTGTCGCAAATGTCCGCGAGCCTAACTTTGTGATGTTTCTTATTGTTACTAAAGACTCCCCAAAAAATTCATCAAAATATCAGGAAGTCAGGCTGAGGTGCCTCAGAAGGAGATTGGAAAAATCACCGAAGGAATATCCCATAGATGCACAATCCGACCTTATCAGGAGACCAGTAGCAGTGAGGATCGTCCTACAAGTCACAGTTTGGGCCGGAGAATACCGGCTGATTTCTGTGGATCTGGGAAACAAGATCAACCCAACTAAATTGCTAACTAGTCGAAATTGCGTACGAAACTCCAATCTATCAGTTCGTGTAACGCAAGCAACAAATTACAAGTTTGAAGAAGAAGAAGTTTGTTTTTATGACAATTCGGAGCTCTCATTTCAGTAGGAAATTGTACGTAAGTAACTGTAGTCATTGAAAACAAATGCTGTAGGAAATACCGTTTCTCAAGTATTCGTACTTCCACGAGTGTGGAATCGCGATGGACAAGTGAGATCAGCACCTACTGTCATTCCATCAGGATGCAAGACAAAAAGTGGCTGTGGACCGTCATTTGTAACATATTGACCAAATTCAGAAATGGAAGTTACTACTGATCAATGCATTCTTAGTTTATCAGTAGCGGTAGAGTCCAATAACACAAAACCACAACTTTTCAGTTCTATTAATTTAGCATAACCTCATTCGGCGGTGTTAACTGCTTGTCCAGAAGATTACATTCCTACTATTCCTGAAACATTAATTATTAAAAGAACAACTAGCAGACACGACTTTTTCGAATTTGTATAAAATGCAAAAAATCATAATTAAAAAAAATATTCATTAAGAACTAGAATATAAAACTGAATAATAAATAAAATGGTTTCAAGTCTCCACAGCATATCTCTCCAAAACACCCAATCATGAAACAACCAGATGTTTCATGATTGGGGTTGTTGGGGCAGACTTTGTAGCAATACAAACCTACTGGAGAATTAGATTAACCTTAATTAAAGTAAAGGGGCTACGAGAAGCAATCAAATAGTAATAATTCTACACCTAAGCTCAGCGATCTACGAACTTGCTGCAGTATTGACTACGGTATGGATAAGGTGGCACCCTTAAGATTCTCGTTTACTAAAGTACCTGGTATGAAAGAAGACGTTGACCAGACAATTCCAACACTTACGTCTACCCGTTTAGGTAATTCATAATACTTCATTATGCTGCAACCATAAATTTTCAAGAAGCTGAAACTTAGAAGCTAACTAATAATACTTCAATAAGTGGTAGGGAAATCTCTGCAGAATTCATTGTGCACCACAACCAAAGATAATTTGATAGATATTTGAAATGATTTTTACAAGATATTTGTACCTAAAAAGAAATATCATCATAGATTAAAGGCTAATGACCTAGAAGCATCAACTGATTACATTTGAAATTTAATGTAAGTATAGAACACTAACATTTTTCATTCCCACACTTATTGAGTGATTGCTAAGTATCGCTCAACTCTGTTAATAAATTTGTTAAAGCTAATCGACGTGACATGACTATAATGTTTAGAAAAAGCAATCTCAAATATCGAGGAATGGGTGCATGACAAAAAGGCTAGCTTTTCCTAATGAGTAGAATTCATAATTGTTATATCACTGTTATGGTATACATGAAAGGTGTGAAACAACTCATGTAGCAAATAGTAGTGACAAAATACAAACCATGGCGGCAAAAGCAATTCCAAAACAGCAAAAGAAGTATTTAACAAATGTCCCACACATTAACCTGGCAAATACTTTTTCAAGTGTTCTATTATTATATCCTCCTAAAGATACATTTTCACCTATGAGTTATTGAATGATAATTATAATACATTCTATTACTAATTGCGACCAATTTTGTTTTTGAAACACATTTTCATCATTCTGATCAACATTTGCATTTTGTCATTGTTATTCTTAAGTCGGTATATAATTCCTAGGAAGTTTCTGGATAAATGTAAAACTCTGCAACTTTGAATAAACTGAATTTTTAGTTAATTAACTAAGAAACTTGTGTGAATCTTTCCGTTTTTATTTAAAATTCAGTAAAAATGTTTTGATGAAAACGATTTGTTATTTTTATATTATAGATTAGTTGGAATTAGTCAAATTTTGTATACTTGTATCTTCCAAACCAGCGAGTTATTATACATTACATTACATAAATTATCATCATTTTTGATCATCTTTTTTTATTATCATATCAAAGATCTACACGGAATTATCAAATTTCGCCGTGCAGTCCAATGCTCTAACGAACATTAATGCCTTTTTCCGTGAAAAGTCATTCCAGATCCTTTGGAGATATAAACTGCGATCCAAAAATCGAGAATCTGATACGATTAAAGCAGGGTAGTGGCATAAAACATGCTCAATCGTCTCTTCGTCCTCCGTATATAGGCGGCATTCAACATCGTCGGCTAGCCAAAACAATTTCAGGTTGTTGAGGTGCTGATACGAGCAAGTCCTGAAATAGTCCCGGGTTTGATAGTGGAGATGTTGATAAACAGCGTGTCTCATGTAGCGTGTCTCATTCCAGCAGAACTGAGCCATAGTAGGCGAAGTCTCTCTTCAGCCCACAGTCTAATTCTGTGTTTGGCCATCGCAAATGATATACCAACTGCTCGCTCTGGACCCACAAACGCTTTAACGCTACCCTCTCGTGCTAGCTCATCTGCCGCTTCACTGCCAACAACTCATGATGTTGCATGAGCAAGCTTACATGATGTAAGCTTGCTCAAACTGAAGTGTCTCTCCTGCCCCGATCCCTTCCGGCGTTTTTGATTTCTGAACATGCAAATATCTGCTTGAACCAGAAAATTTTCATTTTCTATCCAGGACTGCCTTTCAGGGAGCGTTTATTATAAGACACCTGTATTTTTCGAATGTACAAGGAAGTAAAAATATTCCAAACAGTTTATACTTTTGCTATAAGCAAACAAATAAAACAGGTATTCAAATTAATCTTGCTCACTATTGAATTTAATTCAAATTTCAGTTCAAAATCGGTAGATTTGTTACAGTACAAAACCTTTTTTTCTGCTGTAAAACCGTATTAAAGTTTGGCCTAGATTCGATGTAAAAATATTGAAAAATCGTTTCGGGGCAGGTTGAAATTCGCCGGCAGTCCTCCCGGTAACATTCCAACCGTTATAATTTTGATAAATGGTCGTTTCGTTGCGTTTCGATGTCAAAAACACTCTACCCGCTTGTCAATGACAGCTCCATCGCACCATACTAACCGAACTATATTCCGTCAACCGAATCAACGCCGGTAAAGAAGAGAATAGCAATTTATCAAAAAATCTCAATAATTTTAAAATAAATCATTTATTTAAAATTACTCAAAAAAAATTTCCTCTTAAATCTAATTAATTAAAATTAAATACTAAATTAATTTTAATTTAAAAAAAAGAATTAATTCGGTAGTGACATCTATCGAAAATAATACAAAGTTTTAATTAAAATCTGTCACACTCATGACTTAACCTAAAAAATTTTACGCATTAAATTATCCTTTTTTAATTTAGTCAGTAATGTCTGTATTTCACGATGAAATAGAAATCGAAGATTTCGAATACGACGAAGAAGAAGAAATTTATCATTATCCCTGTCCTTGTGGAGATAGATTTGAAATTTCAAAGGTAAAAAACGTCAACGTGAAACCTAAAAGTAAGGTTATAATCGATTTTCATCCTAAATCATATATTTTCAGGCCGATCTTATAGCAGGAGAAGAAATAGCAACGTGTCCCAGTTGTTCGCTTATAGTAAAAGTGATTTATGATATAGTAAGCTCCTAAATTTGTTATAAGAAAAAAATTAAATTTTTTATTTTTAGGAGGACTTCCAAGATAAAGAAGAAGAAGTAACTAAAATTACTAAAGATATTAAAAAATTACAAGTTGCAAATTGATTTATGGAATTTATTTTTATAATTTGAATATTAAAAAGAATATTTAAATGGCTGGTCGCGGTAGAGGACGAGGGGGTCGAGGTGGAAACTCAAAATCTTTTAGTCGAGATCAATTAGCAAGTATCGGAGCAGGAACAAACGATTTAATTCCCGGTCCAGTAACCCAACCACCACCACTTTACCCACCATTAAATCGACAACCCGTTCCAGTACAACCATCAGAAGACTTAGATTATTTATTAACTCTCCGACAAGACATCATAGACCACATGTATCTTTCAACAGCTTTTTTAAGAGTTTCTAAAACAAAAGTAACCAAATCCGATCATGAAATTGACAAATTATTAGCACAATTACCTTCAGCCACCAATAATTTCGACTGGGAATTATTTCCTACCGAGTTGCGACCCAAAATGAGTGCTAAACGAATTAAAAAACAAGTTAAAAAGGAAGTTGATGTTGAGGATAGGTTAAATCGATTAGAAAAATTGGAGAATGACACCGACAATGTTGCTGTAAAGGAGGAGGTTGAAGATGAAGATGTTGAAAATGAGGAAATATTCGATGATGCTGATGAAGAAATGGATGAAGGGACTGATTATGCAAATAATTATTTCGATAATGGTGAAGCTTTTGATGAAGAAGATGATAATTTAGATGATGGACCGGTTTATTAAAGTTTCTCAAATTTTATTTTTATAGCCCCTTAATTTTAAAAATATAAATAAATTGTAAATAAAACAATAAAATTGTACTATATAAGATTAACAATACTTTTTATTTATTTACAAAAAAAATATTGATTTTTTTGATACTTAGGTTAATACCTAACCTATCATTACTTAACCTCAAACTGTTTTATTTTAAATTTAAGTTAAAATAAATTCTTTTATAATGTTAAAATTGAAGAATATTGTTGTTGGTATATCCGGGGGCGTAGATAGTGCTGTTACAGCTTTATTATTAAAAAAGAAAGGTTTGAATTTGTACGAATCGTGAAAAAACGTGACTTAACCTCAAACATAAACGAAATCATTTTGTAGGATTCAATGTAAAAGGAGTTTTTATGCAAAATTGGGACATTGCGGATGAAAAAGGGGTTTGTTCGGCTGACCAGGATTACAAAGATGCCTCAATTGTATGCGAAAAATTAAATATACCATTAACTCATCTTAATTTCGTGAAAGAATATTGGAACGAAGTATTTTTGTAACACCCTAATTGGTTTTTTTCGCATTAATTTGACGATTGGATAATTTCAGAAATCTAATTAAAGAATATGAGACTGGAAGCACACCAAATCCTGATATTTTGTGTAACAAGAACTTAAAATTTAATTATTTTTATAACCACGCCATTGAGAATTTAGAGGCTGATGCAATTGCTACGGGACATTATGCTGCTAATAGTTTTGGGGCTTATTTGGAAAACTATGATCCTAATCAGAGTAATAAAAATGAAATCATAAATTTAAGTTAGATTATGATTTGATTAATTTTAGATGCAAAATTATTATTACCTCGGGATAAAATAAAGGACCAAACATTTTTTTTATCGCAAATAAGTCAAAATGCTTTAAGGAAAACCATGTTTCCATTAAGTGAATTGACAAAACCAGAAGTTAAAGCTCTCGCTGTACAAAATGGCCTAGAAATTGTAGCTAAGAAGAAGGAAAGTATGGGAATTTGTTTTATTGGGAACAGAAATTTTCAAGATTTTATTTCTGAGGTAAAAAAAAGATCATTCCAAAATTCTATACCCTTTTGGCAATTAGCAATTATTTATGCTCAGAGAGCTTGTTAAAGCTTGTACAAGAGGAAGAACCTTTTTATGTTATTTTTATTTTATTACATTATACATAACAACAGTAACTACATTCATCTTTTTATATCAACTAAATTTACACCTCTGCGAATTTTCAAACGAATTTGCCATAAGAATTGTGGTTTTTGTTGTTTCAGTACATAATTTCATTTGTTTTTACATCAAAATCCTCTAATATTCCTTTTATATTAATTATTTCTTGTACTGTTATGGCAGTAGCCATAAATTCGGATTCTGAAGTAGATAAAGCTACATATTTCTGTTTTCTTGAAAACCAATGCACTAAATTATATCCATAAAATAAGAGTCCGCCACTGATACTTTTTCTATCTGATTTATCAGATGCTCAATCAGATCAGTATAAGCAATCAAGCTATTGCTTGTCCTATTTAACTTATAATTAAGGCTTAAATCCTTGGTTCCTTTTAAATATTGAAGCATCCTGATCTTTTAAGCATTGAAGCTTTAGCATTCAATTCTAATTTTAATTTATTTACCATTTCTTCTATATTTATGTCTTCTTCAATTATCAAAAAATCATCAACATAAACTAAGAGCCATATTTTCTTATCAAAATATAAACAACAATCATAAAGTGAACGTTTCAACTTGTACTTTAAAATAACTTCGTTGAATTTTGGAGATTCCTTCAATCCATGTAACGCTCGATTCAGTTTCAGGTACTTTGACGTTGATTCATAACCTTCTGATTTGTATATATAAGCCTTACTTTCGAGTATTTCGTTCAGGAAAGCTGTGGGTATATCCAATTGTCTGATATTCCATCCTTTTCTTATTGCATGAGCTAACATTACTCTTATTGTACTTATTCTTGCAACAGGGGCATATTTAGATTTATAAATATCTTTTTCTTGAAATTCTCTGGCCATTAATCTTGCTTTATTTGTGCCATCTTATATCATTGTTGTTCTTTTACAGCCTCTTGAAATGTTGCAAGATCTTCAGTGTTTAGATTTAAGCAATAAAATATTGTATAATTGGTAATCTCAAAAGTGTTTAGGTATTTTAACTTGTTGACCAGATTTAGTGTGTTTATCTTCTGTATTGTTTTCTTCTATATCTTTACTTTATCTTCTATATGACTTTATCGTTTTTATTAGGTTTCTTATTCTGTTTGTTGTTTCTTTGATCTTTAAACCAGCTATTTTTTGTGATGTGATCTTGTTTTTTTACAAATATTCTATCCTCTTTTTTCTTTTTACAAATTTTCCGCATTGAAAGCATTTTATTATTTTCTTTTCTTCCAGACAAAAAAAGCAGTTTCTGTCTGTTAATTTGTTTTTATTCTTTGCTCTTCAATCAACAACCGTGATGTTAATTCACATATTGATTGATTGTTCGATTGAACTGACTCCCATGCAGATACAAAATGTTTGTACGGTTCTGGTAACGACATGATTACCGTTGTTATTAACATTTGATCGGAAATTGGTTCTCCTATCTGTTTTAATTGGCTAGCAAGTTCCTCCAACTTCGCTAGAAAAATTGATATGCTTTCTCTTCCATATTTAGTGTTACAAAATTTTTCTTACTAAATGTAAACTCACTTCAGATTTATGTTCGTAAACTGAGAGTAATTTTTCCCACATTTCATGTGCATTTCCACAGCTTAAGATGTGTGTCATTGGAGCTTCCTCCATTCTTTCCACTAGTATTTCTTGTGCTTTTACATCTTTGATTCTCTATTTTTTTAAATTTTCTTCGTATTTCTCTGTACCTTCAACTGGTTTCCTTTCTTCTCTTGTTGCTACATCAAAAAGATCCTTCGTTTTTAACTGAATTGTTGTTTGAAACTTTCACAAACTCCAATTATCTTTATTTTTCAATTTTATATGTTCTATCTTCACTTAATCTTTTTTTTTGTTCTATTTTATCTACCAAACAACTCTGGTTATTTCTTTAGCGACTCTGGGCCCATAACCTGTTGTGATTTTTGTTTATGTAGTAATAAATTTACATATGACTTGATAGTAAGATCTAATATTTATTTATTGTTGTTTTGTGACCATGTACTTATATAACTTATATAACTTTTTGTTTTCATTAAGCTTGTGATACTTATTTATCATTATTACAACAAAAAAGGATCATTCCAAAAGTCTATACTAGTGGTGGAACGTATATTAAAAACCTATTACTGAGTACTTCACCATACACAGGAATTAGTACCTCTTTTAGGTGCTGGACACTGCAAAATTCGCTATAAAATTCATTTCTTGAAGGATCTTTGTGGAAATATCACCAATTTTTAATTAAAGTATCATCTTTTTAATGCAAAAAGGCGTTTTGAAAAATCACTTTTAGATCTTGACAAATAAATTTTTAAAATAATCGATAATTTTTTCGAATTTTGCAATTTTCGCCGATTAAGTTTTAAAAATTCGTATAAAATCCATTTCTTGGAATATGAGTATGAAAATTTCCCAAAGTGTTAATAAAAGTGTCCTCTTTCCAATGAGCCAACCCGTTTTGAAAAATAACTTTTAGTTTTTGAGAAAACAGTATTTGAAGTTTTGATAAAATTTTCGATGTTGCAATTTTCATCAATAATTTTCAAAATTAAAATTCAATTAATGTGGCAATATAGGGTATCGTTTCAGAAATGCACGAAGCATGAAGTGCATGAAGTTATAACCATAATGGCCGAATATCCAGCTTTTCGCAAAATCACTATCCGTTCTATCACAAGTTTTACCTCAAAAAACATCTCATCATCTTTCTTTTTAGTACATTGAAGATAAAGAAGGTAATTTTATCGACATAGATACAGGAGAAATCGTTGGAAAACACAATGGAATTCATCATTGGACATTAGGACAAAGAAGTCGAATCGCTGGAATTCCAAAAGGATATTTTATCGCTCAAAAAAACATTGAAAATAATTCCATTTACGTTGCTTTAGGTAGTGAACACCCTTCATTATACACCCAAACTTTTTGTACATCAAAACCACACTGGATATGTGATCAACCAAAAGATTTAGAGACCTCCAATGTTTTTAATTGTCAATTTCGGTTTCAACATACTCACGAAACTACTGATTGTAATTTATTTGAAACTGACCATGGACTAATTGGGCGTTTATCAAAACCAGTTAAAGCAATAACTGAAGGACAATATGCAGTGTTTTATAAGAATAATGAGTGTTTAGGTAGTGGAAAAATTGTTTTTAGAGGTGTTCCAAATTCAATTCGATTTTGGTTAGACCATAATAAGTCAATTAAAGTTTATGATTTATTTAGAAAATGTAAAAGTAAAGATGAATTTGTTAAAAAAGTTAATGATGTTTTAAACAAAAATTCAAAAAATAATAAATATCATTTAAGATAAATTTTAATTATGTTTCAATAAAGCAATTAATTAATAATAAACTTATATTTCTATCGTTTTTTATGTTTTCTTTCATCTAAATCATCTTCTGAGCTCGAGGAATCACTAGATTTCCTCCTCTTTTTACTCTTTTTCTTCTTCTTTTCCTTTTTATGCTTCTTTTTCTTTTTATCTTTCTTTTCCTCTCTTTCAGTTTTTTCTTCATCAACTTTTTCTTGTTTAATTTCTGTTACATAAATGGGCAACCGAGGTGGTAATTTAATATCATTAACAATTTGATCAGCTAGAGTCTCCCTAAACTCATCCTCCCGTTTAATAACCGGTTTAACATCAACTACTCGTGGCGCGCAACCTTCTTCATGCAATTTCCTAGTTTCGTTATCAATTTTTTTCGAATCTTTAGGCATTTTATAATCGGTAACATGATCGACTCGTATTGTTTTATTTAAAATTTTGATTCCATTAAAATTATCAACCGCCAAATCCGTCGAACGTTGATCTTCATAACATATAAATCCAAAACCTTTCGATTTCCCGGTGTCTTTATCTCGAATTAAATTTATATTCACAATTTCACCGTATTGGGAAAAAATGCAGATTATATCGCCTTCTGTTAACTCGTAAGGGAATCCTCCGACGAAAATCCATGCACTTGAACGGTATTGATCATGCCAGGATGTTTTATTTTTGAAATTAAGTTCTTGTTCGCTCAATTTTTTCACATTTTTCATATTCCTATGGACGTTAAATTAATTATACGATTTAATGGTAATAATTTAATAATACTTACGTTAGAGGATTCATGTTTATATTGATATTTTATGATCCTTTTAAGTTAATTTTATTATAACAGAGGTTATGTTTTTTTTTGAGGTTATGTAAAATTCATTCAAACAAAATTTTATTTAATTATGTATTTTGCTATGAAATTTAATTAAAAAGACGTTTTAAAAAGTTTTAAACATAATTATAATTATATTTTAATTAAATAATGATCATAAATGGATTTAAAATCAAGCAAGTTAAGCACAAATTTAGGTTGCCCAACCTGATGCGTATATGCGTCCTGTCAAAACAACCGCCATTTTAACAGATAATTCCTCTAGATTTAGAGTTAACAAATTAACACATAAATAGCGAAACGAGAGTTCTGTGAGTATAATGTGCGCTTAATAAATAAGAGGCAACGAAATTAAGTTCAATTATACTTAAGTTTAGTTATTAATCGGTGTACTTGTGTAGTTTTTGGGTCAATATGAGTAAAAAAGCGTTCAACGTTGGTGATATGGTTTTCGCCAAAGTTAAAGGATATCCAGCTTGGCCTGCAAAGGTAAAATCTTAAATTAATTGATAAGAAATGAAATATTCTCCGTTTAAGGTTGTTGCAGTTAACGGCAAGAAATATGAGGTTGACTTTTATGGAACAGGAGAAAAGTAAGTTGTTTTGAAATTTATCTATGCATAGGCAACCCAATTAACATATTTTTTACTTTGGGTGTTTTATGATTGGTTTTAACTTAATTTTGCTTGTTATAACTAATTTGTGAATTAATTAACACCCTAAATTGATTTTTTGAGGGTAATAGCCGACAAATTTATGTAAAGTTATAATAAATTTGTGCGATATTAACCCTACATTTCTTTCTTTTTTTTTTTTTGGATTAGTTTTCAATAATCTTTTTATTTTTAAGGGGTATGATTAAGGTGGAGGATCTCTTTTATTATCTAAAACACAAGGAGCAATTTTGCAAGAATTTAAAACGTAAAGATTACATCGAAGCTGTGGAACAAATTGAGGCTGAAATTAAAGAATCTGGAACAGATGGAAATTCAAAAGGAAATGAGGAAGATCCTGCTGAGGAGGTTCAAGAGAAACAAGAAAAAGGAAAAGGGCGAAAAAGGAAGCGCTCGAATTCGAATAATGAAGGAAAAAAATTGTCTCATTCATCTAATGATAGCTTAGTAATAGAAGGTTTAAACAAAGGTATGTGAAGGAATGTCAAGTTATTATAATTTAAACTTTTTAGAATCAGAAAATTCACTTCTTGATGATTCAACAAACGAAAATGATTCCAAAATATCACTCCCAGCTGTTAGTAGAAGTGGAAGAGTAATAAAAACAAAAAGGTATTCCCTTCAAAGTGAAGATGAAGAAAAACGCGCAACAAAGCGGAGAAGATCGATGCCAGAAGGAAATCAAATCAGTGCCGAAGGTGGAAAATCGCCGAAATTGGAAGCTATCAATGAAGAGAAAAATGATGTTGAAAAAACGACGAAAATTGAAGTAGAAATAGAAGAAAAATTAAATGATGATGAAGAAAACAATGAAAATAAAACAAAAATTGATGAAAACAAAGATGTAAAGGAAATGAAGGAAGAGAAAGAGGAAAAAGCATTGAAATCAGAACCAGTTGAAGTAAGAATAATAACCCCTCAATATTTGCAAACAATTATTTCGTATGCAGAACATGTTAAAGCAAACGAAAAAAGATATAAAGGTTTAAAAGAAGAACCGAGAGAATGTTTTGAAAATGAAGTTGTTTTAGCAACTTTACCATCTGGAAATTTAGTCGGCATAAAATACGGAACAAACACTTCAAAACATTCATCAGAATACGATCGGGCACTCTCAGATGAAGAAGAAGCAAAAACGTTACTTTCATTAAAAGACTTAGTCGAAAACGGTAATTGTAAACCGGAAGACGACCCAAATATGTTCATTTTAAACGTGGAACCACCCGATGATGAACAAGACAGTAAAGCAATGGAAATGACCAACAATAAAATAAGATTATTAAAAACGGAAGCTTCTTTAGTTGATTATGATGGAAAAATTAAAACTTCTTTGGATTTGGAGAAAGCTGAGCCGAAAATCGCGTTGGAATATTTGGATTTAATGAGTGAATTGAATATTACTCCAGTTATGTTGAAAAAATATCCTGCTGTTGTTGATATGATGAATTTATTAACAAAGTAATAAAATTATTTGTCTCATTTCGACAAAAATCGTGATTTAATAAAATTTTTTATTTCTAGATACGTTGGAAATGCAAAAGAATGGAAATTAACAGGACAAGATTTAGAAATTTTCCAAAAAGACGCCGAAAAAATCAGAAACAAAGCAAAAGAAATCATTTTGAAATTTAAAGTTCTATTCTCTGTGCCAGAAAAAAGTTCATTTTTGACTGTGTTTAATCGATCTCTTGAAGTTTTTAAAGAAGAAACTAAAGATTTAAAAGAAAACGAAGTTTTTGCACTTTGTGCTGAACCATGTAAGTTAAATCTTATTTTCAAGATGATTTTATTTAATTTTGATTTTTTTTTTAAGATTCGCGACAAACTTTCTTTGATAACCACACATTAAAATTAGACATAGATTCCCCTCAAAAAGAAGAAACCGTTTCCGAACAAGATAATTGCTCAAATAAACCAACCACTGATAAAGAGGAAGAGAAAAATGACGTTGAATAAGTGTGTGTGATTGTGTTAAATTAACTCTTTATCGTAAAAGATTTACATTTGTGTTAATTTTTAATAATTACAATTTTTAACCTTAGGTTAAAGTTATTCGAACCTATTTTTTTACATTTGCCACAAAAAGATATGATAAAGGGTTAAAAATCGTCCTTTGTACATAGTGATTTGTATTACAAAGCGTATCCTTGAAAAACAAAATGTTATTTACCTATAAAGTTTTTATAATTAAGAAATTTTCCTATGAATTACAATGTATAATTATTATTAAAAAAAAAGATGTAATCGTAAGCTGTTGTGGAAAAGACAATTTGTAAAACAACATTAAAATGCTTATTAATTAAATCTATTTTCTAAAAAGAATTTTGTTTGATGTTTTCTCATCTTTATACATGTTTATCAGTAGCATTAGAAGATAATTAGTTAATTAGGTTAAGAAAGATCAGCCATCATTAGACATATACAAATGATACAAGGAAAGTAAAAGTTTACCTAAGAAAAGTAAAAGATTTCACATTACCAGGGGAGATGAATGAGTCTGGTAACATCACAGTAGAAGAGTTGAACGACTTCTTTACCAGCATTGGGGCGCATACATCAGCAATGATTTCTCAGACGAGTTGTCCATATAGTTTGCTCCAAAACATGTCTTACACTACGCGACATTCATTATTTCTTCAACCTACAACTAAAGAAGAAGTAATGAGGATAGTTCATAAATGGTTCATATATGGTGTTCCGTGAAAATATTGAAAATAGTTATTCCCATGTATTTTATTTATTTATTATTAACACTATAAGCACAGAAACGGGACGAACCCGCAAACTCTGTGCCACAAAATAATACAAAAACAAATCACCAAAAAACAATGTTAAACCAAAATTACATTAACAGTGTAACGAGTTAATTGAGATAATAAAAATAAAAGGATTGACTTTTCAATAATAATAACAAAACATTGCAAAAAAAAAGAAAACGCAAATCAGACTTCATTAACTAATTACTTAAATTAATTGATCAGCTTTAAGCTTAGAATATGCAATTACCAAACGTTTAAATTCCCTACTTGAACTACTAAAGACATCAAACCCCGTGTTGCGATGAAAAGGATCATAAGTGTGTGCCATTCGCAGCATAGGAAAATTCTGAAAGACATTCGTGCGAGGAATGGGAGTATGAAATATATAATTAATCAAAGCAATCGGGGAGGAACGTGTATATTAATGGTTTCAAGAAGTGCTGGCGAATCGAAGCTGCCATTGATAATTTTGTGGTATGTTAAGGCACCACTACAAAGACGGCGCTGACGAAGAGATAAAAGATTGAAGGATGAGCATGCGGAATCGTAATCAATGTAATTAATTGCGGACTTATGACAAAGGTACTTTACGAATTTCTTTTGAATTCTTTCAATTCTCGAAATGTATGTTTGATATTGCGAATTCCAAACGGAGCTACAAAAATTCAGAATACTATGAACATAAGCAAAATATAGAGTTTTTATAGCATTGACATCCGCAAAGTCTTGAGTGGTTCTCATAACGAATCCAAGCATGCGCCATGCCTTGGCGACCTTAAACATCAGTTTTTCGTCATATATGACGCCCAAATCTCTAATCTAAGTTACTCTGGGTATGGTTATGCCTTCCTTGTAAATGAGATTACATTACATTTTCCAGGATTAAGCGTAATAAAGTTTGAGCTGCAGTAATGGAGCAACGCAGAAATATCGCGCTGTAACCTAGAGTAATCCAGAGGTGAGGACACTCTAGCAAATAATTTTAGGTCGTCGGCATACATCAAACACTGTGATGTATGAATCACCTCAAAGATGTCATTAATGTAAATATTAAATAGGAGAGGACCTAAGTGGCTACCCTGCGGAAGGAACCATCATAATGTTGGAGAAATAACCACCGATCGAGATCATCATAGTTCTTCCACGCAGATAGGAGGCAAACCATCGAATCAAGTATTCGTCTACATCGAACTGTCTAAGTTTTGTAAGCAAAAGTTTATGATCTACCCGGTCGAAAGCCTTACTGAAATCCGTGTAAATAGAATCAACTTGATAAAAATCATCAATTGACTTTAATATGTAGTGAGTATATTCCAGCAAGTTACTCTCGNCACCCTTGATGCTTCCAACCATGCTTCGTTATGTATCCCATCTTCACCTGGCGCCTTTCCCTTCTTCAATCTCCTAAGCACCGCCTCCATCTCCTCTTCTGCTATCTCCTCTCCCCCATCTCCCTCATATCCTCCCAACCCCGTTAGCCTCGTTTCAACCCCTCCCAATAATCCCATAAAGTAACTCTTCCATTCTGTCATGTGTATTTCGCTGGTTATCGTCTCCCTACCCTTCTTTCCTTTTTTCAGATACCTCCATACTTATAATAGCTGGAATTCGGTCCGCTCCCGGTCTCTTGGACACATCGATACCTCTCAACGCCTCCTCAACCTCTGAACGCTCAAAGTACATCTCATAGACATGGTTAGTATCAAAATTATTGTCGGAAGCAGTTCCAGGCCGAGCTGGGATAAATACCGAGTGATAGGTGACAAACAGCGAACAAACACCAGGACCATCAGTGGCAACCACACCGTTATGTGAGACAATTACTAGAATATTATTCTCTCTTTTTCGTTGTCTAACAAATGACCAGAAAAATTTTTTGTCTGAGTTTATGGAAAATTCTTCTCGATATTTATGAATGTGTTTAACACAAACAATGGTAACGTCATAATCTTTAATTCCTTGAATCGCGTTATGCAACTGTCTCGTTGGGTCATTTTCAATAGGATTCGTATCGCCTTATTTTGTAGTTTGAAAATTTTCTCTGATTCAGTTGAAACACCCCATACCATTATACTACTCATTAATTCCTCTACTCTTGGTCACAACATTATCTGCCTTACCGAAACTTCCTTTAATTATATATATCCCGAATTATACACTCTTTCGGCGAGATAGATGTTCGACGATGTCACGTAAGACGGTTGGTGGCGGTGTTCTGATTGGAGTAAGGAAATGTCTTCTAACATTGCTGGCTCCTGATTTTAACTTCGACGCGAATGTTGCGGACGTGTGGGTGAGCGATTGGTCGTATTTTTGTTTGCTTTGTCTATTTGCCTCCCGGTGACCCGAAGTTTTTTTCAGTCTTTTTAGGTAAAATGATAGATCCGCGATGAGTGCCCTGATAATTTAATCTTAACTGTTGGTGATTTTAATTTACCTAATATCGTATGGTACTGTTCGGACGATGGGAATCTGGTGGTGGTGATCTACGCTCTGGAGAGTTTTTGGAAACGTATTGATATTGTAATTTGTTACAATTTAATGATATTAGTCATGATAATCTCAAAATTTTAGATCTGATTGAAAAAATAATTTACCCTAAATTAATATACTTTATTTTGAATTCTTCATGATCGTTGAGCAGCATGGTATATCGGTTGAGACCAATTTAATAACCTACACCGATTTTATTTATCGTGCTTTCGACCGATCTTGAATATACAGATTGTAGTAAGGCCTTCGATAAAATTGATGACAACATCTTAATAAGAAAGATGTCACTGCTTGACATTCCTCCGGGTCTTTTAGCGTGGTTGGGTTCCTACGTCAGTGACCGTTACCAGGCGGTTCAAGTTGGCAATTGTGTGTCTGCTTTTCAGCGGATCACTTCTGGGGTTCCCTCAGGAGTCACCTCGGCCCCATCCTTTTCTTGGCATACATTAATGATGTTCTGGCATGTTTTGAACACTCTAAATTTCTGCTTTATGCTGATTATTGCAAAAATTTTCCTTGCAGGCTGGGTGGTGTGGACATTCAGTGGGTTACTCTTGATAGTAAATTAACGTTTAATGTTTCGTGATTCGAACCTGCCGTCCTTTCACAAATATTAATTGCATCAGAGTGCTGTATTTAACGTATTCATTAATTGGCCTAAATTGGTTTGTGGGTTACGTTTTTACGTTCCTCCCTACCGAACTATGATGTTTAGACTCGATCGTTCGAATACAAATGCCCGCTTTAACCCACCTCTTCAGAGATTAATGCCTTCAAGGGGAAAGAGATACCGTAAAATTTCTGGGAATTGTATTAGGTCCGTTACCTTTCAAAACCATGTCCAGTAAATTAAGTTCAAAAATCTACACTATCAGGGTATTAAATAGGACAGCAACGTATGAAGCGGCTTGCCAGGCTTATTTTTCACTGCTCCACAGTGCTGCAACATACAAAATCCTTCTGTGGGGTGCATCTCCTCATGCACGAAAAATATTTATAAAGCAAAAAGAAGCAGTAAGAGCTCTTTACAAATTGAATTTTAAGGAAAGTTATAGGAATATACTCAAAAGTAACATACTTACCATCCCAGCACAATAGAAGGGAGCAATGGGAGAAAGGATCCAAAGTTCATTATTATGAAACTAAAAACGCAGAAGTGTTTTGATCACCTAAACATCAGAAAACTTAACATGGTATCAACTATATTGGAGTTCATCTGTATAATAAATTACCACAAACTAATGACACAGAAGACATTCAAAAAAAAGAGTGAAATATTTGCTGAATGGTGAAGTTTTGTACTTAGAAATTACAAAAATAATTAACACGATTATTCTATCTATAACTTCTTTCCCTATCCCTTCTTCTCTCTCCACTTCGACTCCTTCTTCGTTTTCTCCTTTCTTCATCAGAATCATAACTTCTTTGCCGAAACCTTCCAGTTCGAGACTTCTCCTCACGTTCTCTTATCTCTAAATGAATTGGTTTTCTAAATGGTCTATCTCTCCCTCCAAACCTTAATTGTCCTGATTCTTTTTTCCCTCCAAATCCGCCCCCCAATCTTCTCGGTTTCCAACCTTTTAATAATCGTTCGCATTCAAAATCAACAAAAACAACATTTCCATCTATATTCATCCTATAAGCACTGCGATATGCTTCTTCAGCAGAGGATTCAGATTCGTATTCAATAAAAGCATAACCTTTTGGAAAACCTGTTACAATATCTCGTACTAAACGAAAACGCTTTAATTGTCCAAACTTTGAAAAGATTTCTTTGATAGTATCCTTGGTCGTTTTTGGGTTCAAACGACTAACGAAAATCGTACATTCAGGTCGACCCTTAACGAATTTATTAGGGATGTAATCAGAATCGATTGCACGAACGATTGCTTTATCATGGGGCTCAGTGTCTGTACCATCTATTGAACCTATTTTTAAGGGGTTGTAATGTTTTGCGTATTGGGACCATGCCTCGCTTTTGTTACTGGAATTCTAATCACATAAAGAAAGTTTTATAGATATTATTGCATTAATTTCTAAGAATACTTACAGTTTCACTCATTTTGAGTCAATTGAGGTTATGTTTATTGTTATGGGTATTCCCTTTTTAGAATTTAGAACTTATAATTCGTTTTTAATAAAAAGTTTATTTTATTTATCTTCTTAAGAAATTATAATTAAATTGGGCTTTACAACGTAAAAATAATTTTAATAATTTGTTTTTAATTTGAATTAATTTTTTTGTAAGTTGGTATTCAATGTTTTGACAGTTATTTTTTAAAAGTCAACATAACCTAAAAAAATCACAATATTGTTTAATTTTTCGTATTTACGATGGATATTACGCCAGAAAAGAATAGAAATGATACAGAAGACTCCGATGATGGTTTAAAAATAGTGCTAGATAGTCCAGTACAGCGAAAGCAACGTTCGAAACCATCCAGTCCCGTTATATCACCGAAAGATGCAGAAATAATTAACACGATTGCGAACGAATTAGATAAAGGACTCGATGAAAAGGCGGAGAGAGCAAATTTAAGCGAATCGAAAGTCAAATCAATTTTAAAACATGTTGTCACAAATGAGCATGTGCTTGCTTTGGTTCGACAAGCTGAAAATCCTGATTTGGAAAATAATTTGATACCATTTGAACCAAAATTGACAAGAGCTAAGATAAAGTAGTACACAAAAATTATTTATACGTTTATTTAATGTTATTTTTTGAAGGGAATTGCGTATGGATGGACCGAGTATACCAGCGGTGCATTGGAAAAGAAAATCAACACCTTCTCGTGTTGAATCATTAATAGTTGAAGAGTTTCAAGAAGATTCTTCAGGAGATGAATATGTTCCTGAAGATGAGAAAGAAGTGGAAGAAGAAGAGGAAGAAGAAGACAGTTCCGTTTACAGTGAATCCGAACCTCCCACACCAAAAAATGCCGATTCAAGTACACAAACTCTTTGGACAGAAGATGGAATTTTTAAAATTCCAGCAAGCTTAAATAAATTAGAAGAAGATGAAGCTACCATCGCTAAGCGAACTCGTTCAAAACTTTCTTTGAGCTCAACATCTCTAGAAAAAATCACCGAAGTTCTTCCTCCAGATCCCGATATTGAATTAGAAACAACTTCAAATGACGATATTTACGATATGGATCTAGATGAAGATTGGAAAGACTTTTTAGTGAAGTTTATGCAACCTCTAGATGAAGCTATAAAAGAAGATGAAGATCAAGATCCTGAATACAATATTTTAGCTGAAAAAGAACAAGTTGATAAAGAAGAATTAAGGGCCGATAGGGGAGTGAAAGTTTCAAAAAAAGAATTGAATCAATTAATTTCAGAAATTTTTGAATGCGAAACATTTTATACTGAAACTTTTAATTTATATGCAAGCGAAATTGAGGAGAAAGAAAATCAAACTTGTCAAAATTTAAATCCCCCGAGTATTTCTTTTGATGAAAATGATGTAAACGAAAGTTTTGTATAAATGTAGCCCTTTAAAATGATTATTTTTTAGGATGTGAATATTACGGGTTTGCCTCCAGAGAATGAAGAAACGGAAATCGTAGCAGAAATCCCTCCAGATATGATATCTGAAGATCAAAAAGAACTTTTAGAACAACAAATGAGGCAACATGTTCAAATGTTGACACAAAATTTTTTATTACTTTATGAACATCCAGAAAATGCTGATCTTGGATTAAAATGCAAAGAGTATCTTGTAAGTTGTATGTTTTTAGGGTTGTTTTTTGGGTTAAAAATTTAATTTAACACGTTCGCTGCGGCAACTAATTTCAGGAATCGATTCATTCATATTAACATAGTATATTAATTAATTATTATATTATCCTACCCTGACGTCATCATTGCAAGTATGCAACCAATATCACAATACGTAAACCGCGTATTATAAAATAAGTACTGTGATATTGGTTGCATACTTGCAATGATGACGACTGGTATGATAATTAATTAACACGTTTCTGGGTTTCTGGTCAAAGTAAAAATTAGAATTTAGGCTTAAGTATTATCAATTGCGTTCTCTTTGACTAAAATATTTTCAGGTTTCTATCACTTCTGGTTATACCGTAATTCGCCATCTACTCTATTTTTTTAAGTATATTTTTACATATTTGGATTGTCTGTTCTCAAGGTTTATAAATAACTTTACTTTTTGCAATTTGATTCGGCTGTTCTCAAATTATTCGGATTTTTCTAGAAACATCTGCTCCAGCAGACATTTGTTCAAAAAATCGATCTTTGGGATATCAATTTAAAATTCAGAACATGCTTAAGCAACATGATGGAGTATGTTTTGGTCACGAACGTTTAGTCACTTTACTATGGCACGTTAACTTTTCGAAATTTCGAAGTACCATAACTTAGTACCCTATATTTTATTACTTAGTCGTCTTCGGTGTCTTATTCTACATCTTTTATGTCCCACACCTAACATTACTAGTTTGGGAGATAATTAGGGTTTTTTGAAAAATACACACATCATATGGATATTTAGCATATAGAAAACAAGCCTTCTCAATGAGTTCTTGTCAAAGACTCACTTGTTTACCTCACTTGATGCATGTGAGCTAATAATCAATAACAATAACGAAAATAATATTTACACAAATCAAGAAATTCTTAATTTATTTTTTATAATGAAAAGCGCGACAAAGTTTGTTGTATAATTCCCAGATCTTCTTTGGCAGCTCGAATTGAGACGTAAAGCGTCATTTACACGGTATAGTAACTTGCGATAGTACTTCTGAGAGTAACTTGCGCTAGCGTTTACATCTAAGCAAATTTTGTGTGCAAGTTCTCTCAGCAAGCACTCTGTAGAGAGAACTTGCGGCAAGTGCTTGCTGACGCGTTTACACAGTGTGTAAATTTTCTGCAAGTACTCTAGGGACAATAAGTGACTGCAAGCGCGTATGTGTTCGATATAGTATATTCTAGTGTTAAAAAATGTCTCGCCGCAGAAAGAGAGCTGCGGCCGCTGCTGTTCTTATTGCTATTTCACGAAAACCTCGGAGAGAAAAGATGAGAAAAAGAATATGGGTCAAAGAATGGATAAACAGAAGGTCTGTTCTTGGTGCTGATGCAACGCTCTTAAATGAATTAAGAAGTGAAGATAGCAACATTCAAAAACTTTCTGCGTATATAATGTCATAAACCGACTTTAATCTTTTACTTCAACTAATTTCGGATAAAATAGCAAAATTAGATACAAACATGCGTGAATCCATAAAACCAAAAAATTGGCTCTGACATTGAGGTTTTCTGAATTTCAGCTTGTATCAAATTTATCCGCTATAAATTTTATTGCCTTTTGTTTCCTATCTCTATCCCTGTATATTTTTGATTTTATTTGCCATAACTCTTCAAAAACACCTATTAAAGTCAAAGTTTTCATTTTCGACAAGAGCTTTTAGTAAACAAAGCCGTAAATGTTTAGAAGTTAATGGCGATATTTTCGAACAATTATTAAAATAACGCTGATGATCAATATTTAATGTTATGTCTAATATTTTGGTTAATTGTAGATATGCAGTAAGAGTTATGCGAAAAAAGAAAATCAGATAAGGACATATCAATTTTTTACATTATATTTTAGTATACAATACATTCCTAGCGTTTGGTCCGTTCCTTTTTTAACAATCTATTTCTTATGAACCATGCTACTGTAGAAGTCACAAATTAAACAACAAAAGTCGTTAGTTTTGCAAAAAAATATATTAATTTGATTCAGTTAAGGTTGAAAGAATTTATGTCTATCAAGTTTGACACACGATTTCTAAAAAAAGGAGTAGTACAACACCCTTGGCAAGTAATTTTAAAAGATGGCCTGTTTAGTCAAGTTTCCAAAATGGTACAACACTTGCCATTTTTCCTGTCATAAAAAATATTATTGCCTGTTTTTCTGCAAAAAACACGTTATTTAAAAAATTCATACTTTTGTATGTTATTTGTATTTCCTCCAAAATGATTTAACAACTTTGCTAGAAGATGGCCACTCTATATCTACAGAGAAATGTGGTTTCAACAAGATGGTTGCCCAGCTCATTATGCTTGTCTTGCATACAGAATACCCAGAAAGATGAGACATAGATTTTTTTTCTTATTTTTACCAGAACAGGTATCGGTTGGCCTCTCACCCGGTGCACGCTTGACGTTGAGTTTCGGGACAACCTGTATCCTGTATATACTTATTGTTAAGGTATATGATAATTGCACCATATTTCGCTTTTATTTTCAAATATTCGTTTCAAAATCCTAAATTTTGTTTTAAACACTATTTATGAATGAAATAAATCCTAGCTAACCATTAAGGAGACATTATAATGGCATTAAACATTTTCAACTTGATTTAGTTGTAATTAGTTTTTGGGCCAGATATTGATAACTTCCTAACACTGTGCGATGGGCCAAAATTTACACTCCCATTGTTCACAGTGAATGAGATACATTTTTCTGTTAAATCATATTTTTGCAAAGTTGTCATTATAATTTCAGCAATAGTTTCTGAAGCTTCATTTGGGATGTTATGAATATCCAATAATTTTGTTTGAATTCCTCCATTTTGGCAATCAAAATACTGAATACGAAAAATACAATCCTTGGAGCTATCACACCATTCTTGAGGGTTTGGTTTTGATTCTTGAGAATGTCATCTCGCTGGCAATATTAGAGTCAGCAAATATTACTTTCATCAATCGTTCAGTACACTCCATTGAATTATATGATTGAAGATGAGCAGAAGACTGTTTTCTTTTACTTCCAGAAGACGACGTTGCAAAGACATTAGTGATTTTCGTGTTAGTAATCACAGTTATGTTTTATCTTGTATTTATTACTATTGATATGCGTTTCAATATTGGATATTCCTTTATGTTTTATAGATATATTACAGTCACAAATCGTGCAATATGCTTCAGTAGGCTCTCTTCCTTCTTTCATAAAAGAATATTTGACTTTCATCAACTCAGAAAAAGTGCACGCTCGTTTTCTACTACTTGAAGCCATTTTAGTAATCTTCGGAAATTTAAGAACGTTTCTAATCATTCCAAACTGTGGAGTCCAAAGACAAACGAAAAACTAAATGTATATGCAAGTACAAGCTTGCGAAAGGCGGAGGAGACAGGTTTCGGTTGTGCTTGAACGTTTGCATTTACGTTGAAGGTTTATAATGGGAAATGGCTAAAATCGCCTTGAGTGCATAAACACGTTGAGACTAGTTTTACTCAGTTTCAACATGCAGAATGAATCATACTTGATGCTTAAAGAATTGTCCCGTACAACAGTTATCTAACTTAGTACCTTATGTCTTCCCAAACATGCCTGTTTAAAAATTATTACAGAATATTGAAAAAATAAAAAGTTATAGTATTATATATAACGTTATTCGCGCTAATTCGCGCCGTAACGCAGCGAACGTGTTAAAAGATTTTTTTTTTGAATAATAAATAATAACGTTTTATATTTATTTAGTTAAATTTAAAAAATTTACCAGTAAATGGTAAAAAATCTTATTTTAATCCAATTAATCTCGATCCGGCTTTAAAAATTATCGACGATTGGGAAAAAAGGTTTACAGAAAACGGACCAGAAGTCCAAGAAACTAGAGCACACATCGAAAAAACGTTATACGATTGGTATTTGTTGATCATATCAAATTTATGAAGAAGTTAATTTTTATTTATTTTTAGCAATAAATATCGTGCCATGAATACACATTACATTCCAAAGTTTCCACCGTTATTAATGAGCATAGTAGTGAAAAGCAACACATTTTTATATACACATTTAATGCCGAAAATTCCTTTCAAACCAAACAAAGTGTTAAGAAATGTTGAATTTTTAAAATCAGAACTCGAGTAAGTTTTAAACGCTTTTTAGTAATACTTATTAATTTTATTTTATTGTTAGATTAATCGCGTTGGGTTTAGAACAATTTGAATCATTCGCAAAATCTGATCCCCATCACCTTAACTCAAAAGGTGAAGTCAAGTTTAAGGATGTTTGCAGTTACATTCAACGTTATATGTTACCATCAAAAGATACTAATCGCCTCTATAAGTTTATAAGTTATAAGCGACGTGCGGGAGCGGAAATGAACCCAATTAAGTATTACTATACAAATGGAACAGCTCCTAAAACAACTCATTTTTTAATTGAGATGGAAAAATTAGGGTTCCTTTCTCCGATTGAAAGAAATATTAACGAATTACCATATCAATGGCAAGTTTTTTTGAACCCGGAAATTGAGAAAGCACCTTATAATAGCCGTGGAAATCAAAATAATGGAAATTTGGTAACACCTATACTTCCAAATCAATTTATTCCGGTTTATCAAATACCACAGGTAAAAAATAGGTTATGTTTATATATATTGACGGTTTGTAAATGTGCTACCAACCTTAAAAAAATAATGGCACTAAAAGTGATTTTTTAGTCAAATTTTTAATTAAATATTGAACTTTCTTTTTTCGTGAATTAAATATTATGTTTATTTAAAATAGCCGGAAATACATATATATCTGTATTATGTGATAATGGCGCAATTGAAATTTTTTTTAAAGTTTGTTGCCAACGCAAATATTTCTCACTAAAACTCTAACTTTAAATAACTTCATGTCAAAACAATGTCCGTTTCTGTCATTATAATTCTTCTTAATATTTTTTAGCCATTTCAAAATATACCAATTTTAATCTGCCCGATAACCCCTCAACCGATTTATAATAACAATAATAAACCACAAACATCAAAGGATTACACCAATAAAAAAAAACGATCGCTTCCAAAACCCATTAAAAAATGCACACCTTCACTGGTTCCCAAAGAAAAGAAAAGAATCTTATTTAATGAAAGCGAAACAGGAAAATATTTCAGTGAGTTTTGTTCTCAAAGTTCTCCAACAGCAAAATTAGAGGAGTACTTTAGACATAAGCCTAAAAAGTTAATTACATTAGAAGAGCGATTAAAAAAGTTTAAGTTTAATTCCTTAACATTAAAAAACTCGGATAATTTGATGAAAAAAATGTTACCTAGTATGCCAAGTTTGTGTACCCCTCGAAGAGAGAGTCCTGAATTAAATGAGCCGAATGAAAAAAATTCATGTTTTACTGATGAAACCGATCAATCACAAACTTTATCTCAAAACAATGATGAAGAGAAAAGAGAAGAAATTCAAGAAAATATAGAAAAAATTGAGAATGAAATGATAAAATATGATGAAATGCTTGCGAGAGATAATCAAGAGGATATTAATGCTTTAATGGTTGCTTCATCAACGATAAAGCCGCCAAGAAAAAAAGTTGTTTGTACAGGTGAAAAGAAAAAAGCGAAACAATTAAAAGAATTAACAACAAATCTTACTATGTTATCACCTAATGAAAAGGATCAGGAAGAAAAATCTGAAAGATTCGTGCAATCTTATTATGAAAAATTAAAGGAACAACTTGACATTCATGATTATCACCAATTAATTGAAATTTTACACAATTTTGAACCTGCAAAAGACTCTGTTATTAATTTATATCATAATATAACAAACATTTTAAACCCAAAACATCCAGATTTGGCTGAAGAATTTTTAATATTTTTAACAGCATCTCAAGCAAAATCTATTGGAAAGCTTGTTCCTTACTTACTTTTAAGTAACATGTCTTTATTTCTTATGAAATTAGAGATGTACTTTAAAGAGCAACCCGTACAGGTTAGAAAAATTTATCGAGCGCTTACAGAACTTAATGAATGTGTGGATGTTAACATGGAAAAAGTGACAAGTGTTATTATGCCCCTTTTGAAAGGAAATAAGATGTTAATTGATTGGTTTTTAAGTGTTTTTCCTAATGAAAAGCCTACGGAAAGGTAATTTTATTACAACAATATGTAACTTAAAGTGATAAAATTTATTTTTAGTATGCTGAGTGGTTCATGGGAAGTTGTTGAAATTCCTAAAGATCCTTTACCTGCAAATGAGGAGCCTTATGAAGTTATAACTCTTCCAGAATATGATGATCCTTATGGAGGCCCTAATTGTATTTGTCAATGTCATGAAAGTGAAGATAATTTGTATAAAATTAGGTCGAAACATTGTATTCCATGTGGATCTAAAGTAAGTAATTTGTGAATTGGAAAGAAATTGCTTTTTATGAATCTGATTGAATATTATACTGATATTCAATTATTTAAAATCAGTGTCTTAAATTTGTTATCTGTATAGGCTATCTCTTGAACTAAACAAGATAGAAAAAAAGTAACTTACATGTCATGATCTCGTTTTCTGAGAAACTGCTGATTTAAAAAAATCGGAAAAGCTATCGTTTTTTGTTATCGCCCTGTTTTTTTTTAATAAATGCAGGGTGGTTCAGATTTAATCGCGAAACTTTACTAGAATGCGCGAAAACTATTATCTTTAAGGAAAAAAATAAAGAGACAAGAAAGAACCATTAAAGAATGAGCTTTAGAACCTATATTTTTTTATGTTAATATCCCATGGCGTTAAAAAGTTCTTATAAAAAAAATAAAAGGGGTTGTGAATTTCATCCCCTTAGAGGGCGCTAGGGAAGCTTATGGCATGCTTGAAAATAAGGTGTTACTTAATCAGTATTAAATTAACTTCGTGAGTTGCTTAACTGACGAAGCAACTCTAAAAAAAGGATACTTTAATTGGCGATATTTCCACAAGGAACCTTCAAGAAATGAATTTTATAACGCATTTTGTAAGTTATTGATGAAAATTACAATTTTATCAAAACTTCAAATATTGTTTTCTCAAAAACTAAAAGTTATTTTTCAAAACGTGTTGATTCATTGGAAAGAGGACACTCTTATTAACACTTTGGGAAATTTTCATACTCATATTCCAGGAAATGGATTTTATACGAATTTTTAAAACTTAATCGGCGAAAATTGCAAAATACGAAAAAATGTCGATCATTTCAAAAATTTATTTCTCAAGAACTGATAGTGATTTTTCAAAACGGTTTTTTGCATTGAAAAGAGGATACTTTAATTAATAATCGAAAGTGATAACAGCGACAGTTCTGGTAGTAATGAATATGATGATGAATTATAAGCGAAGAGAAGAAAACTAGTCGAAAATGCAACAAGAGATTTTATATATCGTATTGGGATTGTTACAATGAGGTTGATAATGACAAACCTGATATAAATAAAGTTCTATTCAATGAAAAAAGTCCTACTGGGGTTGAACTTTATTATTATCTGCAGTGTCCAACATCAAAAGAGATACTAATTCCTGTGAATGGTGGAGTACGAAGTAATAGGTTTTTAATATCCGGCCAAAGATTTAAAAAAATGGTCGGATTGGCCGGATATCCGTTCCACCACTACTACACACCAAAATATGACGATTTAACCTAACGTCTCTTATACAAATGTCGGTGGTTTTCTAGGCACAGGGTGTTGAAAGTTGAATTCTTATTTCGAAATTTCTTGATAATTTTGAATATTTTTGTACTATTAACATAAAATTTTGTAGTTATATGTTTTCGAGAATGAGAAATGCGAATTTGAAATCATCACAAAACAAATGTGCTTGCTCGTTTGATAAATCAAATCATAAGTTTTTTGGCTGTCGAGCTACGACCAATAAGAGCGACAAATCAGAAAAAGCACTCAATTTCACATAAACAAAGTACTCTTATTTAAATTGTCTAAGTCTATTGGTTTTCGAATTATTTACTTTTAAATGTATTTTTGCTTCTAAAATTATTATTTTTTAACATAAGCAACGTTGGCTTATTTTTCAGCTCATGTTTTGACATTTGCTTGTAAATAGACTGCCTAAGTCTGACGTCACAGAGATAGGCTGAGCTTATACTGACTCTAAACAATTTCGTTGCTAACGATAAATCGCCAAAAAATGTCATTTAAAATGTCACTTAGTTTATTTTATTTTAACACTAATTGAAAAATTGCATTATGGCAATTTACCGTTAGCAACACGGTTAGCAACCAAAATGTTTGGAGTCGGTATAAGCTCCGCCCATCACTGTGACGTCAAGGCTTAGGTTCTATTGGCAACATTGTTCTAATTTCCGTGTGCAATAATCATCTTTACCAACGATAGTTATTACCAATTTGAAAATGCCACGACATAATGAGTTTTCTAATAGTGATATGCGAGATATGATTTCTGTATGACATCTGTATAAGAGATGTTGGATTAAATCGTCATATTTTGGCGTATAGTGTTATCGGTGTTCCGGTATTCGGATTTCCCATTCTTTCTGTACTCACCCTGTATAGTGTATTGGGTATCTTTTTATTCTTTCTAAAACGATTGTATATATTTAAAAGTTAACGTTGGTATGGTGCAAGAAAATAATTGCACGTAAGGATCTTCAGTCGATTAGCACTAAAACATATCAAAATGACCTTCAGGAGGATGAAGTTAATGTGATTGTGACATCTTGCTGTAAATCCAACATCTTGCAGAGAAATTGAACAAAACGTTGGAGTACCCAAAAACCGCTGCTCCCAAAGTTTAAAGAAAAACAGGTATAAACGGCCGGAGATACTAATCCAAGATTAGAATTTTATGGTATTTGGAAAAATTAAATAATATAATCTGCTGTTTGCCAAAATGTCATTTGGAGTTCACGTTAATAGTGCGGGAATATTTAATCGTAACAATAAACGTATTTAATCCACATTATTCAATCACCAGTATGGTGTAACCTTGCAAATATTACAATTTTTTGACATATAGTATTTACCATGAAAACTTAAATGCAGATACATACTCAATATATTAAGTAAGCCTTAAGCACATTCATGCTTATGTCAACAATTTGCTATTAAATCTGTCTGAAATGATATATTTTTTTGTTAAATACAAAACCTGATTTAGACTAGATTTTTTCTTTGGGGATTTATAAAAAATATTTTGTATAAAATGGCAGATGAAAATTTAAATGGCGAAGGAGGCATGGTATTGGCCGAAGTAATTAAAGAACTCTTCCAAACGGTATAGGGCGGATACCAGCAGATTTGTAAAGAAACCTAATCATCTCTATATACAAGCTGTGAAAACTACAAGTCAATATGCCCCATTAATGTGGTTGCCAAGCTATACTCCATAATACTTTTTCAAGATTTCATTTTTTCCATGCGCTGTATAACTGATAAGTGGATCAGGAGAGGGAAATATGCATACTTAGCTTTCTTGGATATGCACTTTGTGTTTGATGAGGTGCTAAGGCAAGACGTTTGGGAGCGCTATAGCAGAAAGGGATTTCCCCACAACTTATGCAGGTCATCATATCCATGTTGTAGCTTTTATGGATGAAGTGGTGAAGACATGCAAGAGAAGAAGAAAAACTTATGTGGTCGGCATGCTCAACCTAAAACTGATCATGTCCCAGACTCTGTACTCGAGTGGTCAGAAACTCTAAAAGTGAAGTATCTAAACTGAATGATATTTAATAAGGTGAAGAGTCAAGTTATGGTAGTGACGAGGACAGATGAACAGGTGGATAACAACAATGTGATTGTCAACATCTCACCCAGGTCAGCAGCTATTGAGACTTACTATGCTCTGAGTCGGTATTAGTTTGGAAAGAATAAGATAAGCTAGAAGGCCAAGACAATGGTTTATAAAGCGGTCGTTGAGTCTATACTTACCTATGGCAGTGAAAGCTGGATCGCAAATTGAAGGGACATCAATAGGGTTAATGCGGTCCAAATGAATTGTCTTCGGAGGGTTGCAGGAAAGACACGATGGGACAGAGTACGAATCAGGCATATTCTAGAAGAGCTCAATAACAAACCGGTTGAGAGGATGATCGAGGATAGACAGCGGTTGTCCTGGTTTCGCCACGTAACACCAATGGGAAAGGTAAGGAAGCCACGGTACATGGAGGCCAGAGCGCCAAGCAGGCGACCTATGGGGAAAAGAGAAAATTTAAGAAGATTGATTCGAGGCCAATCTCAACGCCACGATAGGAGCACGCTAGGGAAGAGAATTAATTGCGTACACAGGCAAAATAAATTGTATGTATTATGTACTACATATTTAAAAACATCTAGATCATGACATAATATATGATACATGTAAGATACTTTTTTCTATCTCTTTTAGTACCTGTAGGTACACTTGGTAATTTGAATTTAAAATATCAAAATGAATTCAAAATTAATATTTATTAAAAATTTACTAATAATTTATTTTTTTAAACAACTTTTAGATGGTTTTTTCAATTTAAAACTATTCGGTAAAGATTTCCATCCCAAATACTCCGCATCATCCTCACCAGTGACATTGATGCCGCTTTTAACCGGTTTTAACATTAAATTACAAACCGATTTTTTCATCCCCAATGAATATCGTTTCCCGTTATCTTCAAAACCATCATCGATTAATTGCGCTTTCGATTTATTTGCATAATTTCTTTCCTCCTCTAACCGTTTAATAAAACACCTCGTGATTTTGCTAACTTCTTTTCCATCCAAACATTTTAAATAAGTGCACGCAATAATTTTATCGCGATATTTCCGTTCTTTCGCAACTGGATTTCCAAGAAAATCAGCTTCGCGTAAATTTACCATATGTTTTAAAGAATTTGTTATTTTTTTTATGTCGGTTATGTTGTTGTTTGATGCGATTAGGTTCTTTAAGTAATATAAAGATGCTAAATTTTCGATTGACTGTATATTGTTGTCGGAAATGTTCAACATTTCGAGGGTGTTGCTTAAAGAGACTCTTGATCTTGGATCTAAACATAAAGAAGAACCTTTAGGTAAATTTTGTTTTTCAATATGTAATTCAGTAAGCGAAATTAAATTTTCTAAATTTTCAATCACTCTTATTTCGTTGTGTCCAAGATATAAGCGTTCTAAGCGGGTTAAATTATGAAGGTTCTCCAATTTTTTTATCTTATTTTTTTGAAGGTACAGCGCCACCAAATATCTTAAACCATTTAAATTTTCAATTTTCTCGATGTTATTGTTATGTAGGTATAAAACACTTAAATTTATGAAACTGTTTAGGTTTTTGATTGATTTTAAACATTTATCTTGCCAGTAAAGGTGTGTCACTTTTAAAAACACTTCTATTTTATCTTTTTGATTTTTTTCTTCTTTTAATTTTCCACCTTTTTTATCACCTTTTATTAACGTTTTTTTCTCTTTTACTTTGTCCATTTTATAGTTTATAATAATAAAAATAATTTCACAAAAACAATCTTGTATAAAAACTTCTAAAGTGACAAGTTTTAACTGTCAATTTTATTTGTTTTGTTACCATGGTAATCTAAACTTTAGATATATATAGATTTTTTTTCTAATTTCGTACTAACACTACTTTAAATGAATACAAACTTGAGTAGAGAAGATTCTTGTTTCTTCCTTCTTATGGATTGGTACGATTATAGTCTTTTTCCATTAGTGGAGTATTGATTCAGTACTCCATGTTTGCTGGAATATTTTGCCCAGCCATTGTACTACTTTCAGACTTCCTCTTTTTAATATAGTTCTGGTGATATAATATCGTCACCCACTGCTTTAAATGAATACAAATACAAAATATCAATTCTTTTTTAAATTTCTTTTTTCAGTTTCTTCAAGGTAAAGTGTACATCCATACCGGAAAAGGTTTAAGACAAGTAAAAGTATCATTCTCGAAAAAATCTTCGGGTTTAGATCCATTTACAAGATTAGGATGTCCTCCGCAAACAAAAAAGAAATCCGATTTAGTACAATCCAAACCGAATAATTCAACGACTACGCAAAATAAAGAAACTCACGATGAACTTCGGTTATTAAGCAACGAAAGCGATGAAGATAATGAAAATACAAAAAATAAAAAATCGGGTTCGAATAAAAATCGTTCGCCGAGAAAACGAAAACAAAAACCGAAAATCGAAAGACCCAAAAAAGAGAAGAAAAAATTAAAAGAGAAAAAATCATCATCGAAAGAAACAAAGGCGAATGCGAAAATTGAAAAAATTAATATTGAAAATAATGAAATTCAAATGAATTCGAAAAATGAAGATGAATTTAGGCTCGGTGTAAAGTGTGGCAATGAAAATGATCCTACATTAATGGAATGTGATTTAAATACTTCAATTGAGGCGTTTGAGTTGAGGTTAAGTCCCGAACAAAGTGCAGAATCTGAAAGTGGTAAATTTTATCATTTTATTGTTATTAATTTGGATTTTAATTTTGATGATTTAAGGTGAAACATCTCAAGATAATGTAAACACTGATAGTGATACTTCAATTGATAGTCAAGAAAATGTAAATATAAATGAGAGTTGGACTAAAGACGAAGATAAAACGATATTAGAAACGTTACAAAAAGAAGGGCATAGAGAGGAAACTTTCGTAAAAATCGCGGAATTATTAAAAAGTAGGTCTGTGGATAAAATTAAGGAACGATTTCAATTGCTGATGAGGTTAATACAAGAAATGGCCAATAAAAAGACTTAATTTATTCGTTAATTTGTAAGATTAGAAATAAATGTTTATTATATAATTATAAATTATTATATTTATTAAAAATTTGATTAGAAACATCGTCATCGACAGAATAAACTAATTCTTCTGCATAATTATGCTCCCTCTGAATCCCATCTTAAAACCAAAGGACCCTTAAATATTCTTTAACTACCTATCACCTAATGTTATCTTTAACCCAACCAATTGATCAGGCTGTGTTTTATTGTATAAAACATTAATATAAAAGTCTTCATGTCACCTAGGAAAAAATTTTGTATCAAGTTTTCAGAGATGAAGAAATTACGAAACGCGAAGACGACCTAGAAGCGCTGAAGTCAACGAAAAAAAATGTTTCAACTAAGCTTCATCTTCAAATCATAAATATCCCAATCAAACTTCATCATTAACCAAAAAATATCGGAATTCAGCGAATAAATCCAAACCGATTTGATTGTTATAGGCCCACTTTTACCATCCTCCTGATAAACTATCTAGAGGATGGTTGCCATAGTTACGGCGGTTTTAAGCGCTCTCATTGGCTAAGAACGGGATTTATCTATCGGATAAATTTATCAGGAGGTGGTAAAAGTGGGCCATAATCTGATTAATACCGCCCAGGTTATGATGGCGCGTGATTTGATGTGAGATCAGTGTTAGCACGTTGAGATAATCTCCATAGTAATTGGAAGTGTATCTTAATCCAACTCTTAGTCCCCGTCGAGACCTTTGCCCATTTGAATATACTCTAGTTAAGCCAAGGTCAACTATAACCTAGTCAAGGTCAGTATCTTTGCTTTGACCTTCACTACCCCTCTATATAATATTACGCTTCAGCAGGGCCACTAAAAAGAGTGCAACCCTTTTCATAAGAAAATTCAGGTTCAACCTCAAGAAGTCAATATTTGTTATTGTAATAAACAAAGTCAACATAATGAACAAAAACAAACCATGTATTACATTTAATTATATCTAATTGCAAAAAAAAGAACAAAAATAGCTTGTAATATCAACTTTTGGAAATGATGTATTTGTTTTATCTATGATTTCTAACATCTCGCTCCAAAATGCTACATAATGCCAATTTCCAGTGAGTTGAATTTGTTTAACAAGACCTGAGCTACAACTTTTGCTGCAAGCCTTTGAAAATTGTCTTAAGTTTTGTTCAAAGCACTTTTAAAATTTGCATAACCGGAAATAACTGTCTTCACGGAATCTCTTGGTCAGCCCTTGCTAATTTAGTTTTTAGTTATCTAATAGAGCGTATCTTTCAAAATTTCCCATCTTGATGTTGACGCGGTGAAGAAATTGTATAGATTTTGAAGAAATAAAAATAATTTATTTGCTTATAAGCAGCATTCCATTGCTGATTTTCCAACTAAATTTAAAGAATGTGCTGCAATGGCAAGATTGTTTTTGGATTTAATGCGTGTTTGGAGGTTGCAAGCAAACAAATGTAAACGTATTACATGCATTATCGTAAAATTGTCCTCTACAATTTTTCAAATTAATATCTAAATCAAATAATAGATTTAAGATAGATTTCTCCATATTTAAGCTTTTGAGGTATTTTCAAAAAATTTTAAAAACCTTTATTTTACCATATCTGACAACAATGGTTAATTGATCTAAATGGGAAATAACGGGCGTCGAATCTACAATAATAGAATAATACTTCGCTTCTTCCACTTAAGATGTTAACACCATGTTCATCTACACATTTCCTTTCCTGATCTTCTGGTCATGGCTGCTCCTCATTTTGCTGTATTTGCGTTGCTTCTTTTTCTTTCTCATTTGATTGTTGGTCATTATTATCATTGGAAATATCTTTTTTTAAAGAAATGTGTTATTGTAGGTACTTTGTCTAAGATAGGTTTTTGCCTTGCTTCCTTCTGCTTCTTCAATTTTCGATTGGCGAACCCAGATAATTTTTTGTTCCATGATTAGCCTTGTTACACGATATAAAAAATTATTTTTAAATTATGAATTAACCTTACAATGTAACGGCAACAAAGATAAACAAGACATAACAAAGATAAATCACCCTATCATTGCACAGTTCACCACCCCAGGCCCAATCACAGACTGGGGAATCCGGAAGAAATTCCCTGGGACCAGTAAACGAGAATAAAAATAACTACAAATAAAAATTTAAACAATTAAGACACCCCCAAAGAGCTGGCGCCCCAGGACTACAACCCTTTTATCCCTCTGGTTAGGGTGGTCTTGCGTTTCAGTTCGGTTATTTGGATACTTCCTAGAGTGCGGGAAGTTAGCCCCCGATTTTTTTATTTTTAAATTTTCTGGTTTTTCATGGGTCCAAAGCGGCAAATAGAAAAAATAAAAACTCGGCGAGAAAACCTGAAGAAAGGGTTTTTTGACTAGTCCTCTATTTTTGGGTTGTTCTAGAATTTTTTAGTTAAAATCGATTCTAAACTCATCGTTTATGAATTGTTCTAGAAAATCAAAATTATGGGATACAGCATTCCGAAGGTATAACTAAAAATAGGTTTGGCTGCCAAAATGTCTAATTGATTGCTGTGACCATAGTTTTTCTATTTTCAATATCATATTACAAATATATACTTATTATATCTAAAGCTGTGTGTCCACTACCAAGTTTTCTTGCGGAAGTTGCTTCCAGAAGTGACTTCTAGAAGTTTTTGTCGTGTAAACACGTATGTTTTTGTCGTGTTTACAGGACAAAAACTTCTGGAACTCACTTCTGGAAGCAACTTCCGCAAGAAAACTTGGTAGTGGACACACGGCTTAACGCAATCTGGAACAGCTATTATTTTCACTAGAACAACTCTATAAAGGACACTTTACTCTTTGAAAGTTGATGTTTTTGGAGGTTTTCAGTCAGTAATTTTTGGATGATTATTATATTATGGGATTAAACATCCCATGAAGTTTCGAAATATTTAAGTTTTCAGGTAAATAAGTCTTTTTCGTATCTTTAAGGGAGTAGTGTGACTTATGGCCACTCAAAGACATGACAAAATCATTAACAAGAGTGATAGTATCATTACTGTGTTTATGTAGTCTGTTCGAATGTTTGTCTGTTGGTGAAACACCCATCTCCTGGAAACTTTGCTGAATAATTTGAACCTGTATGAGTAAAATAAAGTATTAGGTACGCCATTATCTATACGAGGATGGCGTCTCATTATTGGGGGTACAGTAATGAGACCACTGAGGTAACTATTTTGCTCGTCACAAGTTAGCATGCTGTTGAATTCTTTTATAATTCGCTTCCTTTCCTTCAACAACAACATTTTCAAAACATTTAAGTCTTGAACAATAACAACTGTCACCTGCCTCACGTGACATAAGCCTTAATTTTTTCATTACATCTTTCATTCGACCTTTTCCTTTTCTTTGTAGACTGCCGATAAACACTACTACCGTTGTTTTCGTCACTTACACTGAAATCGCTGTCCATTATTTTTTAGAATTCCGTTAGCCAAACACTTAAATGGCTATGATTTGGAAATTCCGCTTCCAAACAACATTTACCAACCTCGAATTAATTTAACGGTTGGTTAACTTAACTAACGCATATTTACCCTAGTTACTGGCCAAGTAGCCTATTGAAACAAGCCTAAATTGCGACAGAGCTGGACATTCATCGTTTTCCCCACAACGACGACGCGTTCTCTTGGTTCTTATTTTAAAGATAACTGTAGGTTATTATTCTTCCTTACTCTTTCTAGATATCAAGAATTTAAGACTGAAGGCATTTTTATGGTGTGCTTGTTCGTCTGTAGAACTTCTTTGTTTATGTGCAGCACAAATATGATTAAAGACTGAAGCACATACAGACGTAGCCAACATAGCGCAGCGTAAAAATACAGAGTGCAATAGATCTTGCCAGCCAATAACCACGTTGCGCAAGACACACGTTTTTCGGAACCACATCACTGGAAGTATTTTTATCAATAATTGTATTCTATCCATGTTTGAAGTATGTCTGAAGAATGTTGCAATATAACCACATATTATTGTAGTGTGGAAGAGTAATAATGGCATTGGCTCCAGGTAGAGCTCATCATGGTGGTGGAAATAGTTCAGGTACAGTAAATAGAATTGATTTATTTCAAAATGAGAATAAGAATTCCGCAAGATAAGAAAAATTGAACTAAAAACAATTAAAAACCAAGTTGCGTATTTATTTTCAAATAAATTTACTAAAATCAGTTATGAAAATGAACGCTTATTTGTTTATTTATTTCCATATTAATAATTAAACGTACTAATATTAGATTTACATTAAATACAAACACGTTTTATCATGTTTTTCATCCTTTTCACTTTATCATCTATAAAACCCGTTTATTTCGTCTATTTTAATTTCTGCATTATCGCCGAATTTAATATACCAGCGGCTTCCAAAGACTGAGAGTCATCCAATTCCTTTGTTGGATAAGACGATAACAATGAAAAAGCTCGAGTTTCGTATTGAGGTCTCGCAGCTATTATAAAAGAACGAACTTCACCTACTGTATGAGAATTATTAAATTGACCTATTAATCGTGATCCATCAGCTAATCTTATTTGTAAACTAAAAAAAAAAGAAATTAAATTGTAATAAATAATTAATTCTTTTAAAACATCAAAATGAACTAACTTTGTTATTGGTTGTGCTTCATCCAATTTAACTTGTTTTTTAGCATGAGCTTCATTCACACTTTTATCTTCATTTAGTGGAGTACCAATTGTAGGGGGAGCCGGGCTTCCCAAAGTGTGCCCAGTTCCAGAGAATGGTTTTGTTAATTTTCCATGAGAGGTTTGTTTAAAGCCCTCCATTCGATGATCTTCCATACTTAAATGCACCTCATTAACACCTTGCCTTAACTCAGTTGGGATTTCCCCTCGTCTTACACTATCCAAAAAATTTCTATTTGATGGATCATCATAAGCTCTTAATGGGCCATTATCCAAACTAAAGCCCTCCCTCCACAATTTCATTGTAACCTGAATAGGAGGTGAAGGTTCAACAAAACCTGGAACAGTTACTGAGTCATTTCCTGTTTGTCCTAATCGATAACCGGTCCCTCGGAAAGCTCCGGGTTGAGATGTTGATGCTGAATCTAAGATTTCAACTCCGTGTTCTTGTACTGATTTAAACATTTCAGCTACAATATCTTTTTTCTTTTTCGGTGGCCCCAAAACTTGTTGTCCACTATTTTCAGAACCCCCGGCGTAATAAGCCTGACCTTCTTCTTCGTCATCGGACGATTCCAATGTGTTTAATGTGGCGAATTTTGAGCTCCTCGTTGTTGGTTTTTCCGTTTTTGGTTTTGCTGTTGTATCTGTTGGGGTTTCGTCCGCAGGGTTTGAAAATTGGATGGTATCGACGCTTTCAGGTTCTTGATCGGGGTCTGCATCGTAAAAACTTGTTAAAGCCAGCTAGAAGTAATGAAAAAAATAAAATATTTATGGTTTTTGTCATGTCATGTTTTTTTTCTAAGAGGGGTTGAGTTAACCTAACCTCTAAATCCCAAGCGGAAGATTCCATATAAAATCGAGCACGTTCTTCATCGATTCCTGTTACCGTTAGGAACTGTTGGAGTTTATCGTTATTTTCTGACATATTCTAATCACTTTCTTCCCGTCTTTTTAATTATTAACACAAGTTGAAACTGATTACTATGAATACCGGACTGAGTAATGACAGCTGTCATTTCTTACATATACTATGTATGTGGAGGTTATTTTAAAACCATAACAAAAATTATTTATTTTTAAATATTTAATATTCAAGTTTACTCCGATTAAATTAATTATTTTTTACTTAAAAAACAAATTTAAAACTAATAATTAAGTTTAGATTTAACGAAAAGATTAATTAAGGTGATTAATTTCTTGGGGGGGGGGGAAATCATTCGTTTTACACGTATATATATCACCGACATGACATAACATAACCTATAACTTTTAAAAGCAAATTTATTAATATTGGCTTAAAATAAGTTAAATTAAAATGGGGATTTATTCGCGGTGCGTATTATTTTCGAAAATATATACCCCCGGTTTAAAAAAATCGGCCTTTTTAAGTCTAAATTCAACACAAAGGTAAAGAAACATTAATGTTTTATACTTAACCTCTAAATAAACCTTAATTTGTAGGTTAATAACATTAAAAAGAGAAAAAACGTTAACTATTAATAGTATATTAAGTGTAAATATCCATAATAGTACGAATTTATTAAAACGAAGAAAAGATTCGGAAGAAAGAGTAAGTTATTAAATTTTCTAACCTAAAAATTAATTTTAAAAATAATCATTAATTTAGAAAAAACCCAATTTAAGAGAATACTCTCCAAAACAAAAATTAGAAGTAATCGATGTTTGGAGAAACATAACCGTAAAAGAACTAGCAGAAATAATGAATAAAAACACATCATACATTGAAGAACTCTTTTTAAACAACATAAAGGGCTCATCAACCGTGTTATCAGACCTCAAAGAACTTCAACTCGCCATAAGACGAAGTGGAAAACGCATGAGAATCATACCAAAGCCTTCAGAAACTGAAGACTTTCAAGACGAAGATGTTTCTCCAAGACCTCCACCAGATCCATCCGTTTTACAGAGGCGACCACCCGTCGTCACAGTAATGGGACATGTCGATCATGGAAAAACAACCCTTTTAGATAGTTTACGACACTCAAATGTTGTTGATCGCGAGTTTGGGGGAATTACTCAACATATTGGAGCTTTTTCGGTTTCTTTGGATTCTGGGGCTAGAGTTACGTTTTTAGATACTCCGGGGCATGCTGCTTTCACTTCAATGAGGGAAAGGGGGGCTAATATAACAGATATTGTTGTTTTGGTTGTTGCTGCTGATGATGGCGTAATGGAACAAACTGTGGAGTCAGTTCGAATGGCTAAACAAGCCAATGGTGAGTTGAAAAAATGATTTTTAGCTTCTTCTTCTCCTATCTAAATCTTTTTCCTATTCCTCCATCCACTTCTTCCAGTTCCTGGCTAATTCCTTTTTATCTGCTAGAGTCTTCCCTCTCTTGTTGTACACTTTCAATTTCATCTTTTTATCTATTTCCTTCTTCCCAAAAATTGTTCTGTTTAGAGTTTTAGAGTATGATATATGTTGTTTGTTTTCCTTATTCTTGCATTTACTATGTCTAAATCTATCCTTCTATCTTGTAATATTATAGGTACTGATGATACTTCTTCTATTTTTTGTTCCTTAACACTAAACCTATCAAGCCGTCTTTAAAATGTTATGTACAGGCTGTCCCTAAACTCAACGTGCTTGACGTTGGGCGAGAGGCCAATCCATACCCGTTCTGGTGAAAATAAGAAAAATATTCTCTTAGTTAAGTGGTAATAGACATATTTTTGAAAATATTAAAAATACTAGGGTCACAAATGTTCGCGATTCAACAAAAGTCGCTAGTTTTCCGAAAAAAAAAAAATATTAGTTTGAGTTAAGATTAAAAGAATTTATGTCTATTAAGTTTGACACACGATTCCTAAAAAAAAGGAGTAGTACAACACCCTTGGCAAGTTATTTTAAAAGATGGCATGTTTAGTCAAGATTCCAAAATGGTACAACACTTGCCATTTTTCTTTTCCTAAAAAATATTATTGCCTGTTTTTCTGCAAAAAAACGCATGATTTAAAAAATTCATACTTTCGTATGTTATTTGTATTTCCTCCGAAACAGAGTTGTTCTATGCGAAGGGGGAAACCATATGGCGATAACATTTTTTGACCTTGACCTTAGTTTCAAGGTTATATGAAGGTCACGACCAATTTTTTAAATGGCACCCTATACAGCGTGTCCCGTATCTTCCGCATCAGAGCATTGTACGGTTGTAGGATACATTATTCTGAAGCGATCTTTCTAATAAAATTTTTTCGAAATGTTTATAATAACCGCACGGGAACTGTTTAAAGGAACTGTTTTTCGTCCAATCAGCAGATCGCAAATCAGACTCAGGTAATCGGTGCCACCCTCGGCCGGTCCGCTACGCCGATGATAACTCGTTTCCCACGTGTACTCACCAATAGATTCGTCATGGAAAGAGAAATAAACTTTTTCGATGAATCAAAGTTGTCCGTTATTGGTCGTCGTTAAACAGTTCCCGTGCGGTTATTATAAACATTTCGAAAAAATTTTATTAGAAAGATCGCTTCAGAATAATGTATTCTACAACCGTATAATGCTCTGATGCGGAAGATACGGGACACGCTGTATATTTTATTGTAAAATCTGAATCTGTGGATAAAAGTAATTAAAAAAAAATAGTATATTACAGTACAAGTGGGGAAACCATGATTTTTCATTAACGCGTTGAATTTCATACAAAGACATACAAGTTAGTGGAAAATATTAGTTTCCCACGTGTGCTGTATAGCGTTTTGTTCAATCCTACTATTTAGAGAAAACCCGTCTTAAAATTCGATAATTCCTGACTAATTTCATGTTGGCATGTCGGCGATGATAGCAGTTTTTGACATTGTCATGCTCGTAATTGATATATGTAAACAACCATTTGTGTCAAATTGTTAATTATCATCATTATTCATAAAATTAATAAATTGATTAAAATTAATAATTTGTACAAGTGAAATACTTAACTTTCCACGTGTGCTGTCCACCGTTTTTTAGTTAACATCCGTTACGTTTAAACAAAAAGTTGTTCCTTTAAAGGTTTTATATTTAGCTAACAGTGGTTGATAAAAATTAGAGTGAGTGAAAAAATTTTTCAGTCACGCGTTTCTATGAAAGTCAGCAGAGTAAATGCAAATAACAATTTTCAACACTCGTATCCAACTTAGAAACTGACGATTTCGAAAGTAGGATTGAACAATAGTATATTGTGTCTCAGGGGCAGAAAATAAGCATTAGCAGCCCAAGGGTTGCGACATTTCTCAGCCTTTGTCAGTTTGATAATAGAATAACGCATAAAACAAAAGGCCGTGGAACTGCATTTTCAGAATATCGCTTTCAGAGACTTAATTGGTTAAATTGTTTTAAAATGTAACAGGTAAAACTAAATTTGCATAAAAACTGCTTGGCAACAAATTCTGAATTCATTCCATCGTTTTACATTAAGGCAAAGTGTTTACACCAAGTCATTAAATTATGGATGCCGCCATTGGAACTTCCTTGCCTTTTTATGGTTCTCTGCTATCAGGACTATGTCGTCAGCATTTATTGTATAATAGTAAATTATCTATTTTTACTGGTGCTAAACTTTTATAACCTATTCCTGTTTGATATTTATTTGTTCTTGTTCTTGTATTTTTTATCACTCTGTCCATTAATATCATAAATAACAAGGGGCCTAGGCTATCGCCTTGTTTTATTCCCTTGCTCATTTCAAAAGTTTTTGATGTTTCTCATTTGTACTATGCCCTTGACCAGTGCCGCCGCGTGTTCATGAGCCGCCTTTGTGCCAACTGAAAAACGCTGCCCCCAGCTTTAAAATTGTCCTTGTTAGTAAGGAATGGTTCATCATCTGACTCATGTTCAAATTGCTTTTTTTTCCCTCTGCTAACATTTGGAAATGTAGGTTCCACATCTAAACTTTCAGATATGTCCTTTGCAGAATTCACAATTGATTCAAATTTGTCATCTATTCGGTAGTCCTTTAGATATACTGTAATTTGTTCGATCGATTCCATAACGGTTTTTATGTTATATGACGGATCTTGCCTCATTTTGTTGACAACATTTATAATCGTTAAAATATACCGTATAAAAATGCTACACAAAAATTTCACGGCTTCAAAGTTAAATTTTGACATCCGACTTTAGTATTGCCCATCGTTTAGTGGAACTTGGAACTTGAAAAAAATAATCCAACTTGAATAACATCAAAAAAATTAACATTTTCGAATAATATTTTTGCCGCATCATTCACTATACAGTTAAGTAAGTGGTTAGAACATGGAATAAAAAAGGCTCTTGAATTTGCTTTAATAATTTTTTGCTGAAACCCATTATGTTTGCCACGCATGTTTGCCCCATTGCCGTATCCTTGACCTCAATATCTTCGAAACTACTGAGTTTTTCAAATCAACGTTGATAAAGAAAGTTGCGCAGTTTTCGATGTTCTATCACTCGCACCTAATAGAAACTTTGTGTTAAAGGGAAAGTTTCTTCTGACTGCAGCGCCACCTTTATTTTTGTACAATGAAAAATAACAATACTTAAGAACTGAAGTCATTTACGAACTCTAACAACAACTTCTTACAAAACTACAATATCTCCTCAACCCATTCCAGGATACTTGACATGGTAGTTTTAAGTGAAACGCTCTATATACAGTCAATTCTGCTTAATTTCAATAAAATGTGAATCTGTATTTTTTGTTCTTTGAAATTTTCTCTTGTTTGCTTAAAACACCGCCCCTTCAATTAGCCGCCCCTGTGCGGTGAACAACCTGCATTTTTGTTAGTTTTTGTGGTACCATTAGCTATTCTAGACACTTCCATATAATACTACAGTTAACCGTATCAAAAGCTGATTTTAGGTCCAAGAATATTAGGTTCATATATATATAGTTCATTGCCCCCGTCTCTATTTTCCTTTCAATGATATTTCGGATTACATGTATGTTATCGTTCGTTTGTTTGCTTGCTCTGTATGCTGCTTGTTCATCTTCTAGTTTATTTTCCACTACTCTTCTTGATCTTTTTTCTATTATCTTCGTGTATAATTTGTAACTTGTAGATGATAGGCATATGGCTCTGTAATTTTCACAGTTCGAGTAGCTTCCTTTTTTATGTATTGGTAAGATGATGTTATCTTCCCAATCTTTCGGAATTATTTCCGACTCCTATGCGGTTTTATAATATATACTTAGAAGCCACTCCTTCCCTTTTATTCTCAAATATTTTATCATCTCTGAGTCTATCTTGTCTTTGTCGCATGTCTTGTCTGCTTTCATCTTCATCATTGCTCCTCCTAATTCTTCCATTGTTATCTCTTCAGTTGCTGTGTCTGTAGTGTCTTCCCTTATCTCATTTTCTCTATCCTCCTCCATTGTTTGTGTCCGTTTTCCATCCTTGAACTTTTCTGCATAAAAATCCGCCCATATGTCCAGAATTCCCCTTGTAGTTGTCTTTATCTTTGTAGTTTCCTTTTTTCTTTTTCCATATCGTCCGGCGATCTTTCCGAAACTGTACGTTTATTATTCCTGCCAGCTTCTTCATCCACTATCTTCCCCGCGTTCTTTGCTTCATCCTTTACAATTATTTTGTTGAATGGTGAATGAGCTTTAACTCCTTTCCTCATGAGTTCCCTTAGTTCAGTCATCAAATCATATCTCTCTCTGAATTTTCTTAGAGTACTCGTTATCTATCCATATGTTCGTTCCTTTCAACTCTTTAGCGTGTTTTAGGATATCCATCCTCCTGTCTCTCTTTGTTAGTTTTATATCCATTTACCTTTTGTATCCATTCATCTCCCTTGTGATGTCGGTCAAATATTTTTATGAATTACATATTTAATTAATATTTTTTTTAGTTCCAATTCTTGTCGCAATAAATAAAATAGACGCCCCAAAAGCAAATGTACAAAGAACGGAGCAAATGCTTTTAGAAATTGGAATTCANTTTAGATACTCCGGGGCATGCTGCTTTCACTTCAATGAGGGAAAGGGGGGCTAATATAACGGATATTGTTGTTTTGGTTGTTGCTGCTGATGATGGCGTAATGGAACAAACTGTGGAATCAGTTCGAATGGCTAAACAAGCCAATGGTGAGTTGAAAAAATTATTTTTATGAATTAAACTGTGTCGGCTTTAGGGTGGGGGCGGTTGCCCAGGGCGCTAGGATCATGGGATGTTCGCGAATCTATTAAGTAATTAATAATGTGAAAATAAATGTAGAGATTAGTAGATTCTCTTTTTGAAATGCTCCCATTTTCTATTGTTTTCTTCTGTAGTTGAGTTAAGTTTCAATGAATCCAGGTTGTACATCAGTTATTTTCCGTAATTTTGCTAAAGGATGTAATGTCGATCGATTTTTGCTGGATTATATCGCCGGATAAGCAACACATGGCGAAAGTGACTGGTTCCTCATGGACGACGTCGATTTAACGAATATTTCGCGTTGGTGAACCTTAAGCTAAGTTTCCACATGGACGGATTACTGGCGCCAGTTCATTGGCATGTGGAAATAGCAAAAAACCACTGGCGCCAATAAATTGGTGCCTGTAATCATAGCGCCAATAAAGTTGGCGGTACTTCTACTTTTTGGCGCCAGTAACAGTATTTATAAAGAAAACGTGTAACTATTAACGTGTTCGTCCAACTAAAATGAACAAATCCGCTAATAAACCGTCCAAAAAATGGATATCAGAACAAACAGTACTATTTCTAGAAACGTATGAACAATATCCTTGTTTGTGAAATCAAAAATTTCCACAATATAAGGACCAACTAGCACGAAATGAAGCTGTCAGAAGGATAGTTGAATTTATGCAGAAAACAGTTCCTAATTAAACTAAAACTAGAACTAACACTAGCACTATCACAAGAACTAACACTAGACCTAGAATCTTTCGGGTTAAGCCGTGCGTTTTTTGAAAAAATGTTTGACGTTTCGGATGCCAAGTTGCAACCTTCTTCAGAAACAAGTTTGAAGTTGTTTCTGAAGAAGGTTTGAGCACATTTGGACTACCAAATTGATGCCAGCGCGAAGTACATCACTTGCCGCCATTTTTATTATTGTGCCAGTACACAACTATAACATTTATGTGGAAACAACTTCTGGCGCCAGGTAATTGGCGCCAGTAATCCGTGCATGTGGAAACTTAGTTTTAATGCATTATTTTTACTTAAACTGAATCGTTAACATAGACTGGCTGCGTTTTACTCCAAATTATGGTATTCATTTCTCTAAAATTTATGGATTAAGGAAAGTTTGGAGAATTAACGAGTTTCTATCCATTTAATACAATCTACATACGGTATTTCTAATAAAGTATAAGGCGGCTATGTATATACGACTATATATAGCTGACTGTACTCCTGATATAAGCAATAAAGAGCAACTGTCCCTAACATTAAGGTGCACTGACATAACCGAGGACATCATAAGCATTAAAGAATATTTCAGTCCTTTTTTTGGAAATTGATGATACAACTGGTGCTGGTCTCATAGAAGCTATTTTAAAAATATTGATTGATCTTATAATAATGGCGCCAACATGAACGGAAAAAATAAGGGCTTGCAAAAAAGAATTACCGACCTCAATCCGTTACCTTTCTTTGTACCATGTAGATGTCACAATTATAATTTAGTCCTGAGTGATGCCGCAAAATCATCGGTAACATAGGTATGTTAATACGGAATCTAGCAAAAAATATTTACTTTATTTGCAGCATCAGTAAATAGATGGAAAATTTTAAGGGAGCATCTAAAAATCTACACCCTTAAAAAAATAAGCGATACTCGCTGGGAATATCGAATTGAAAGCGTTAAGGCGATTATATATCAACTTTGTGAAGTTCATGATGCTTTAGTGTCTTTGGCTGAAGATACCAAACCAAACTAAGTTTGAAGTACAATTCTTTAATAATCTCTTAGACATGGTGCTTATGTCTATAAACCAAAGATTTAGTCAACTTAAAGATTTTTCTGAAACTTGACATTTTTTGTTTGTCATAAACGAAAATCAAAATGGAGAACAACTGTTGAATCATTGTTCTGCACTGCAAAAACACATAACATTCAACTGTAAATCGGATATTAATGGAGACTCTTGACGAAATCTTGAGTCTGCAAGAAGGACTACCCGGACAACTTCTACCGAAGTTTTCCTAAGTTGTTTTCTAACACCTGGATAACTTTGCGTATTCTGCTAACAATACCAGTGACAGTTACAACGCAGGAGAACGCAGTTTTTCTAAACTAAAATTAATAAAGACCTATTTGCGATCGACAATATCACAAACAAGACTAACTAGGTTCGCTATGTTATTTCTCTACCTTAAATAAAGAATTTTCCGATAGAAAAGCTAAATTTCGTTAACTGGTAATCATATCGGTATAGATATTGATTTTAAAATTTAATAATAAATTACTAAAGAATTCACATATTTTAGTGACCATTTTTTTATATCAACAAATTTGAACCGCTGACATATTTTTTTCCGTTTGTATAAAAACTGTGTTTGGAATAAAAACTTTAAATAAGTTTTTCATGTGTCTACTTATTGTTAGTAGTAGTAGCTATTGGTTGTAAAAAAAAATCAAGTACAACAGTAAGAAATAAAGGGCGCCAAAGAATATCTCGCCCTGGGCGCTCCGAAACCTAAACCCGACACTGGAATTACATATTTAATTAATTTTCTTTTTAGTTCCAATTCTTGTCGCAATAAATAAAATAGACGCCCCAAAAGCAAATGTACAAAGAACGGAGCAAATGCTTTTAGAAATTGGAATTCAAGTAGAAAATCAAGGTGGAGACGTCCAATCTGTTCCAATTTCCGCTTTAAAAAAGAAAAATTTAGATCAACTCACCGAGGCTTTAGTTCTTCAAGCAGATCTCCTTCAAATTAAAGCAGACCCAACGGGACCCGCAGAAGGCGTTATCATTGAAAGTAAACTAGATCGACATCGTGGAAAATTATGTACAGCAATTGTGCAAAGAGGTACATTAAAAAAAGCAGCTGTTTTAGTTGCGGGAAATGTTATGGGGAAGGTGAGAGTGTTACGCGATGCTGACGGAAAAGTTTTGGACGAAGTTAAACCGGGATATCCAGTTGAAATTGAAGGATGGAAGGATTTACCCCAAGCTGGGGATATTATATTGGAAGTTGAAACGGAAAAAAAAGCTCGAAATGTTTTAAAGACACGCGAAGAAAAAAACGTAAAGGATAAAGAAGAAGAAAACTTAGCGATAATTGAAGCTAAAGAAAAAGAACATTCAAAGATTTATCAAGAAAAATTAAAACTGCGTAGGAGTTTGGGGAGATTTAAATTAAGACCTGAAGGTCCGCGAAAACCAGAATATAAAAGAGATGATACATCACCCCATTTGAATATAATCCTAAAATGTGATGTAAATGGAACTTTAGAAGCGATATTAAATGTTCTATCAACGTATGAATCACAAGAGTGTCCCCTAGATATAGTTCATTTTGCTGTTGGTCCCATTACAGAGTCTGATGTTGAAATAGCAAAAGCTTTTAATGCTGTGATTTACACTTTTAATGTTACAAACCCTGAAAACATCATCAACGACGCAAATAACTCAAAATTATCCATCCAACAACATAATGTAATCTATAAATTAATCGATGACGTAAAAGAACAAATTAATTCACGTCTACCAATGAAAGAAGTCGAAGAAATCGTTGGCGAAGCTCAAGTTTTACAACAATTCGAAATTAACGAGGGTAAAAGAAAAGTTCCTGTCGCAGGAAGTCGATGTACAAAAGGAGTACTTAAAAAGAATTTGATGTACAGATTGGTTAGGGATGGGAGTCCTATTTATGAGGGATCGTTATTCTCAATGAGACATTTGAAGAATGAGGTGGATACGATTAAGAAAGGTTTGGAATGCGGATTACAATTACTTGATAGAGATATTAAGTTCGAACAAGGAGATGTTTTGATTTGTTTTGAAAAGAAAATGGAGAAGCAAAAAACCGATTGGGATCCTGGGTTTTAAAATAATGTTGATTTTTTTTTTCGTTAATAAAAGAAAAAATAATAAAAAATGATTTTTTATTAATAAAATAATTATTAAAAAGAAGAATACATAAAATTAATACTTTTCTTTCTATATATTACTTTTTTTAATACATTTGCAACAATTTGGTAACAAAAAAGAGAAATTAACGATTTTAATGTTTTTTTTTTTTAATTGGTGTTGAGATTCTAATTAATATATTTAATAATTTTATTTAAATGTAATGTAAACCCTGTTTTATAGATTGTTTTACAACAAAAATAAATTCTGACACCTTTTCTAAAGTTTTCAATTTTGATATTCCTTTGAATTGTAAAGTCAATGATCTTTTTGCGGTTAGTTTGAAGTTTTTTGTAAGCTTTATACGTTTTCTATTATCTCTTTTATAATTCTAACAATTATATTACATAACAAAGCAGCAGCTCAACATTTATATTTTATAATAATTATTATAATACCCCTCAAGTACGATTATTTTTATTTTTTTCCACATATTTTTATTTGCATTATATTTAATAATTACAATCTATACCCGTTATTTGTTATGATTGGTAGTAGCTTTTTAACTAGTATTTTAATATTACTTACACAATACACTTTTTAAAGTATGCTCAATAAAATCTATTCACACTTTTAACTTAACTTTTCAATTGGAAAGTTTTATAGGTTTCCCAATTTGAGTTTTTGTATATATTTGCTTCTATCAACACTACCAATTTCGAATTTTATTGAACATACAATTATTTATTGTAATAAAATTATTAAATAAAATATGTGATATTTTTTGCAAAAAAATCGTAATAGACTAGAAATTTTTATGATTTTCTTTTAATTTTTTTTGTAGCTACACAAATTAACAACATTATTTATTAATAATAATAATAATATACATTTTATCTTCATCTAATTTTACATTTTAAATATTTCTTTTCTAATTATAAATGGCTAGTCAACTGATAACAATTTATCAAAGTAATTAAGTTAAATAACAGTCGTAGAAAGGAATTGTACTTAAAAACTAGTTATTTTTCGATATCATAGAAAAAATAACTCGAAATTAATAAATACTAAAAACAAATCATAATTTTTTACACGTGAACTCTACACCTATCAAGTTTAAATATGGAGTGGCAATAAAATATATTTTAATTACATTTGCGACCATATTTTTTAGGTACACTTGTATATAATTTATCAATAAATTAAAAAAATATATTAAATGCTTAAATTTGTCTATTGACCGGTTTCATAATCAACCAGCTAAAGGAAAATCCTTTAAAACAATTCATATTATTATTATTTTCTGCCATTTAAACATGGACAGCGAAAACAATACCCCAATTAAAAATGATATCCAAAAAAGCAGTTGACGCAAAAATAAATATAACTTTAAAAAAAATGGAGAGAGAAGTAAAGATAACATATAACCTAATAATGATGACCGGAATTGGATAAGTGATGGTACTGCTTTAGCAGTTGAAAAGAGGCGTCTTCCAACTTAAAAAACATAATGTTCAGCTGGAAAATTGGACTAGCGAAAGAAACACAAAAACCCAAGAGATGTTTACTTTTTAAAACTCTCTGGAATGATTAACATATACACACATATTTGTAATGATTGTTGTTGAAAAAAAGGAAGTACAAAGAACCAGGAACAAAAAGACGATAAACACAGTAGAAAATCATTTTCGGACACCCCTTTTTAAGTGAAAAAATTTTCTGGAACCAAACATTTCTGGAATAATCTAAGTATATTGAAACCGGGGAATTACCTATTTCCCTTCGTTTTAGTGCGGAACTGAATCTTTCTTTTCTGTCGTATTTATTTAGTTGTTTAGAAATTGTTAAGAATAAAAACAATATTCGTCTACAGTGGGAGTCTGGAAGCAATACCGGTCAAAAAAGGGTTTTTTTAAAAACGGAAGAACTTCAAATGTACAACGTGTATTTTAATTGGTTTTCTCTTCTCTAACTAGATTCCATATCTATGGCTTTTGGACAGCCCCACCTGATTTATAAATAAATTGGTTAACATACCAAATGTGCAACAACCACCTCATACATCAATACTTTGCAAACAATGCTCAACATAACATTTTTCCAGAAATACAGTGTGAATTTTGTATGGTTTGCAAAAATACTTAGGTTGCTGTCGGAGAAAAAGTTGTTTCAAATTGTAAAGGCACTTTCCTAAACGCTAGTAGTGATTATGCACTGCCGCTACAAGTCAATGGAAAAAGTAAGAAAGTGTTTCAAAAAAATGTAACTCAGCTCCCAGTCTCTTCTAGAGCATAGAACTGCCACGATGAATAATGAAATTTCTATAGACTGGTACAAAAAAATTTTCATATCAAATGTGAAAAATGTTTGAAAAGTAAAACAACTTCAAGGAAAAGTGTTATTTTCTTTCTGTTGAAGTGCTAAATTCGATTGATGAAGAATTTGAGTAAGTACTCACTAATGAAAATCCAAAAAAAAAAGGATGGAACAAGCGTTGACATGACAATAAAGAAATTAGAGAGAATAAGAGAATGAAAATGAAGCAAAAACGCTTGAAAGAAAAAAAGGGTGGCAAAACTGTACCAGTTAGTTCCTAGTTTTCATGATTGTGACGAATCTGATGCTGCAAATAGTTGGATATGGATAAAAATGATATGGGCTATGAAAACCTTAATGACAACGATTACCTCACTTGAAGTGTCGATGATAATATCCACATGACGCATGCCGAAGCGTTCACGGCGTTGGAGATACCAATAAACGCACTAGGAATGTAATGAAGTCCAACTTTTTTTGTTAAAACGAATGAGGGACATAGTAGGCAAAAAACATTTGCAACGCTTACTCAGACAAAAATTAATAATTTTGTTAAATAAATTTAAATGATTACCTGATGTTATAATGATGGGTGAATAGAAACAAAAAGTAGGAAAGTTTTTCATAATTTGTTTGCTTTTAAACTAATACAAAAAAGTTTGGTTTGGTTGCGTGAAAATGATGTAGAATGAATAAAAGAAAGCAAAATTAAGGCAAATTAAAAGAAGGTTGGCAAGTTTACCTTTATACAGTTCAAGATACACGTCAAAATATAGGTTAGAAAACTTTGTTTGTTTTGGCAACAAAAAGAAGGTAAGATTGTTTATATTTTAACTGAAGTATGAATGGGGTGATGCATAATTCCCTGTTATTTTATGCTTTAGATGCCGTGGAAGTACTTTCACGACCCTAGGTCAAAGCAGTACAAAAAAATTCTTCAATTTGGCTCTTCAAGACATTAGAAATGGAGTATCGTACAGAAATGCTGCTAAAAGATATATCATTCATTATTCCGTTTTATATCTGCACAAAAATAAACCAAATTTGAAAAAACTCAGCTGAGCACTGTGGAAGAGTAGTCAAGTATTTAGATCTGCGCAAAATTGTCAAACATTACTTAGATAGTCGAGGAAAACAAGTGCCTTTAGTTAAAGACAATATACCAAGGAAAGACTTAGTCTATTCATTTTTACGGAGACATGCCAAAAACTTGAGAACACGAATTTGTCAAAATGTCAAAAGATGTAGGGCGTAGGTGTCACCTCGTGATATCGGCAATTTTTTTGATCATCTAGAAGAATAACTGAGAGATGTACCACCAGAAAATATCGTCAACTATGACAATACAAAAAGTGCATAAAGTACAGCCACTGGTCAACTATTGCCGGCATATGTGGTTTATAAAGCCACACATCTTTACGATTTTTGGACAATTGGGAGCCAAGAGGTACAAGATTCAATAGAAGCAAAAGCGGGTTTGAAACATCTACATTTGAAAATTGCCATTCCACATATGAGAACACTACCAAGACCAAAATTTTTAATTGGAGACAACTTGTCATCAATTTTTTCAGCAAATATCGTAGAAAAATGTAGGCAGCATGATATAAATATATCATTCATCTTCCTACCGCCCAATTGGATTAGATGTGTCTTTTGCAGCTTGGAGAAAAATTCTCATCAATTGGAAAATGTCTTCAGAAGCAAAAAAAAAAGGATCTGTCTAAAAGAATAAATGTCCCCATCTTTTGAAATTACTTTTTGACAAAATCAAAGTCAACGAGGCAACTATAGTTCATTTTTTTTCTATAATACCTGTCAAATTGTTGTAAAGTTGGCAAAATTAACAGAGAGTTTTGTTTTATCATGTTTTAAAATAGATATGTCACACTGACGTTTGAGCTTTCGTTATTCAAAAAGAAAAAGCGCACAAAAAATGTTGTGGAGTGTTTATTTGCCATTTATTTACCTAGAAAAGGTGTTTTGTTGTATATAATTACTTTGTAGCACGTTTTTACAATAAATAAGTACCTCGTTAAAATCGTATTGATCTAAAAATGTATTAGTATTTTAACCTCAACTATTTAGTTACTGAACATGTTACTAAAAATCAGGAAAACAACATAAATTTTATAAGAGTCCTAGATAATACCAACAGAAACCCTAAAAAATTTACATTGACAAGTATTATAGAAAAAAAACGAACTATAACATAATTTCGGGCTTCAGAAAAGCTGGGATTTATCCTCAAAAACAGGCAAGAAGTGTCGTTGGAAGAAGACCAAACTGGAGTTTTTCAAGATGTTAACATCTCAGTAGTTTCCTACTTGAAAAACTTTCGCTACGGCGACGAATCTGATACCAGAAGTCGACGTCGCAAAAAAAAATTAAATGTGAAAGATCAGATTCAGATCAGATTTTAGACTTACTATCGAAGGCGACGAAATCAATGTTGAAGAAAAGACTCAAGATGAAAATGAAGTAAATAGTGATAAGCTGGGCCGTTATTTTTTGAGACCAAAAAAGAAAACCAATCCAAAGATAAATTTTCAAAGGGAATTCAAAGAATTGGAAGATTTTTTGAAAAATTACACAATACATAGCCAAAGAAAATATCAAGACCAACACCAAGAAAAGGCTAACAAGTTTAAGTATTACATAGGTCAAGTCACAAAGTCCCTAAATAAAACTGAAGACTGTCTAACTGAAACTAACTGTGATGAACCTGAAGACTTTGAGGGATACTTTGTCAGAAAAAAGGCTTCAAGAAAAGTCAACAACCGCATATTTTTGCTATAATCAAGTTGTGGTAAAAATTGAACCAGTCAATGCTGAGTAGAAAAGGTTGCTCTGTTTTCCCATAAAAATCGATTAATTTTTTTATGAAGTACCTAGTCTAAAAAGATTTTTATTCAGAATTTAAGATTTTATTTATGTTATAATCAGGGCACGGAACTTTTGTAACAAAACGATACGATTTCTCCCCTCCACTCGTTCTCAGAAAATCTTGATTAAAAGAAGAGCATACTATTCAGAGGGAAATTAAAATTTCAAATTAGCAAAAAATTGTATTAACAAACACTGTTCCTGAAGTAATTCTAAACAAATTTTGTTAACAAAATTTTTTGATTAAATCAACAATAAGGATATAACCTCAAAAATATTAATTTTTGTAGCATACTGTTCAGTGGGAAATTAAAATTTCAAGTTAGAAAAAAATTGTGTTATCAAAAATTGTTCCTGAAACAATTCTAAACAAACTTTGTCAACATTTTTTTTTTGATTTAATCAATGATTAAGGAGATAACCTCAAAATAATAATTTTTCCGTTTTTATACATAATTATACTTAGATGCTTAATTAATAGAGATGTAAAAATTTTTTATTAAGATAATTGATTCAAAATCGAAATTGAAACAAATTTTATTTAAAACATTTTTTAATAAAAACAATAATTGTTGAGATAATTAATTTTGATAGCATACTATTCAGAGGGAAATTAAAATATCAAGTTAGCAAAAAATTGTATTAACAAACACTGTTAACAAATCTGAAGTAATTCTAAACAAATATTGTTAATAAAAATTTTTGATTTGATCAATAATTAAGAACATAATCTCAAAAAAATTTTTATATATTTTTTTTATTGAGAAAATCGTTTTAAAATGTAATTTAGAACAACTTTTGTATGAAATTTTCTGCTGAGAACGAGTGGAGGGGGGAAATCGTATCGTTTTGTTACAAAAGTTCCGTACCCTAGTTATAATAGGTACCTATTAAGAAACAAGAAAATTGTTTTGTTTTCATTTTTTGCAATTAGATTTTTGGAATAGTTCCTATGTTTGCAATATTTTAACTAAATACTTGTTTTTTACTTTAAAATTTTTAATGTTTTCAATACCTATACAGTTCTAAGATTGTTTGCCTACGTCTGTAATGAGTCTAGCAAATTTTTTGATAAATTTCTCTCAAAATTTGATGCCTTTCTGTAAACAGATCTCAAAAAGAAATTTTTTGTTTCTTTTCATCCCAAAATGGGTTTAATAGCAATATAGGTACATGATTTTTAAACAGGTGTTTCTATTGACCCCAACTTTAGTGTCAATAGAAACAACAAAAAAAAAATTTTTGATTGTAAAAACTGTTTTTTTATTCTTTTTGCAAATACACCACCCTTTAGTCCAACCAAAGACCAGGCATTTCTAATAGTTGTTAAAGTGAAATTGTTTTTGTTGTTAATTGTAAGAGCCTTTGAATGTTCAAAAGTGTTTCTATTGACCCCATAGTATGGTATGTAATAGTGTTTTTAATATAAAGTGCTTTTATTAGGCTTTTATCTGGAAAAACGTCAAAGCGAGGCCGTTGTGACAATTTAGTTTAGTTAGATTATAGAGGAAGTAGGAGTTTCCAATTAAGACAGGCAAGAAGATATCAATGTTTTGTAATAGTTAAACCTGAAAGACTGTTTCAGGAAGAAGGTGAAAACTTTCAGAGGAAAATCTGGTGCAGCTGCCAACCAGAAGAAGATTTATTCATGAATAAACTGTATATGCTGAAGAAGAATGAATAATAATATGTAATGAATACATTAAAAAAATTCTCTTCTTTCTACACCAAACTTATAAACAATTTAATTCATTGTTCATTATTAGCAACTTAATGCTGCAATTGATAATTCAAAAACTAAAAAACCTAACAAACTTCACCTTGTCAAATGTGATATTGAAAACATACAAAAATAAATAGGGTTAAAATTATCTGAAACTTCTGATATAATTTCTTGATTAGATTAATTAAAAAAAATTTCCGCCTTTATGCATAGTTGATTATGAAGCGTTTGTCTTAAAATCAATATTTAATCTCTAAAAGGACTTTTCAAGTTGCCTAAGTTTTCATTTTTTATGAGTTTTATTTCGTGTGTGCGTTAAGGATTGTGTTTGTAATAGGTTGTTTGTTTGTATTTCTTGGTTCAGTGATGTTTTAAATTTTTTTTAGTGCTTAAAATATTTGCAATAATTTCTAACTTCAAAAACAATTTTTGTATAAAATTAATTTATCAATTACATGACTAGATAATTATTAATAAATAAATTATTATTTAAAGCATTGAATTTAGGACAAAAATAATGACTAGTACCTTTTTAATTTTTTAACTAAACAAAATTAATGGTAAAAACGAAGTTTCTTTTTTTTTTTTTGGCACAAATAGATGATTTTTTTATTTTTTATCATCTTAAAAGGGCAGTTATTTTTTATTTTATTACAGATATTTTAAACACTTTTCTCCAGAAATAAATTCTCAATCAATAATACTCAAAATAAATAATCTTTTAATTACCATAATTAGCTTGTTGTCTTTTTCTTTTAAAAACCAACGCAAAAATACTTCGTAATCTCCACCATTTGCTGTGTTTATGTGGTTTTCTTTCGTTACCATTAATCCCACCTTTTTGCCGTTCTCTCACCCTTATCTCTCTCACCAACGTATGGAACGCATCATCAACATACGTTCTTAAAGCTGCCGATGTTTCATAAAATGGACACCCAAATTGTCTTGCTAATGATTTCCCTTCTTCTGTGGTTACTTTTCTTTGCATTTGAAGATCAAATTTGTTTCCAACTAGCACCAAAGGGGTGTCTTCACTTGCCCGAACTTTTTGAATCAATTTTTTGTATTCCAAGGCTTCTTGAAAGCTGTGTCGATCTGTTACACTGTAGCAAATTAAGAAACCTTCCCCACAACGCATGTATTGGTCTCTCATTGCTGTAAATTCCACCTAAAAGTTTATTTTAATGATTTAATTTTGAGGTTAGATTGCTATTTACTTGTCCAGCTGTGTCTAAAATATCTAAAAGGGCTGGTTCACCATCAATGACAGCTTGTTGTTGATAAGAATCTTCTATTGTAGGATCATGATAGTCTAAAAAGCTATGACTAACAAATTGGAGAGTAACAGCTACAAAATATGGGTTAAAATTGTAATGTATGTGTGATATTTTGTTAAATACCTGATTTACCAACTCCCCCATCACCTAAAACAACGATTTTATATACCCTAATACCACCCCTTTGATGAGTATTGCTGCCATAAATCCGATCACCTTCAATATGATCCGAATCTTTACCAGCTCTTGAAGATTCCTGCCTGGAGATCTTGTATTTACGCTTATTTGCGCTACCGCAGGAACCCTCGCCGGCCATGGCCTTTTTAAACGTCGCGAAAAACGTCGTGTTCAAGGCTCATTAACACACGCGAACACGTTTTAATTAAAAAAATACCCACTTGGGGGGTTTTATTAACAAACTTTTTTTTAAAAATAACAATTCTTTAATGTTTAGTTGACATTTTAATACATTTTGACAGTGACAGTTGTTATGTCAACAAGGACTTGCTTAAACATCTATTCGATATAGAGTTGAAATTCTGATCCCAACATGTAAAGTGAGATGAAATTATCGAAATTATTGAGTTGAAAAAAGATGGATATATAAATGTATTAATTTTAAATTTTTACAATTATATGAAAGTATTAAACTAAAATTAGAACTAAAACTAGAATTAACACTAGAAACCTTCGGGTTTTGCCGTGCGTCTTTTAAGAAAAGGTTTGACGTTTCGGATGCCATGTAGTGACCACCTTGAACCAGTTTCTGAAGAAGGCATCCGAAGTTGCAACATGGCATCCGAAACGTCAAACCTTTTCTTAAAAGACGCACGGCAAAACCCGAAAGTTTCTAGTGTTAGTTCTAGTTTTAGTTCTAATTTTAGTTTAATTCACACCGGCCGTGAAAGCCTTCCTACTTATATATGAAAGCAGTTTCATGTGGGGGAGAATTCCTTCACAGCATTTAATCCCCAATAGTCCAAGGTTTTAATGAACGGGTATGTTCTCTTAAACACCCCTTGATTCCCTTAAGTACGCGAGGTTGGAACAGCCACAAACAATATGATTTACCGGCTCAACCTTGATGTAACCTGCTGCCATAAAGAGACAAAACTTTAGAGCAATACTAAGGTTCATGAACGACCTACATTTGCCCTAAACTTTTGGAGGGCTTAAGTTTCAATAGATCTTTTAGATCGCGGTGACGAGAGGGGCCACTCCCCTCAGCCAAGCAGTGTCCAGGAAGTGGGTGAGGAGCTTCAAGTCACTTTTTGATTTTCCCAGGAACGGAGTAGACCTCTTCCAGTCAGGGTTGAGCAAACTTTTCTTTGCAAAGACACCTACTGCAGTAGTCTATCGCAAAAAGCTCGATGGGAGATGGAGTTGATCAGCTTTGATGCTGTATTAAAAGTTAGAGGTATAAACGGCTATACAGTAGACCACCGACTTACGAGAGCTCTAACTTACGAGACGTTTAAAATCGAAGGTTACAATTCGACTTACGAGAATGCGTAATATGTATTGCGAAATATACAACATCCAATCACATCTCCTATCTGAATCTTCGTAGTCAACAGCTGCTTATCACGTGCATAAGTTTTCAACTATTAAGTGTTTTTCAAATTAGTATTGTGTAGCTTAAAAATAATAGTTTTTGCGGACATTCTGAAGGAGTTAATCATATGGACTTAGGAATTGAATATGGGTTTCTTCGTCTACTATTGCAATTATTATAAGCATAAAGAGATAATTATGAAAACAAAAGCGGAAAACTCTGCAATTATCGTAAAAGGCAGTGATTTGATTTGCAAAATGGAAAATTTACTACTGATTTATATTAAAGACAAAGAGATGAGAGGAGAGTCCACATCTGGTGCATTTATTTGTGAAAAAGCACTGAGAATTTTTAATGACTTAAAAAGTGAAATGGAAAATATAGAAAATATGCGTTTAATTGACTTTAAAGCTAGAATACACTGTATCGTTAGACATGGAGAAACTACAAGTGCGGGCAGAACGTTTTAAAAATCGTCGCTAAATTTGTGGAAGAAAACGGTTTCCTCCCCCAACTAATTTTTAATTGCGTTGAAACCGGATAATTCTGCAAAAAGTTACCGACCACAGGAAACGTCGCGCCTTCCAAGTCATAAACCTATGAAAGATAGGGTAACACTTCATCTTGGTGCAAATTCTTCTGGAGATATGAAATTAAAGCCTATGTTTGTTTATAACTCTGCCAATCGTAGAGTACTTAAAACAGAAAAAGTCAATAAAGAGAGCTTGGGAGTTTACTGGCAATTTAATACGATAGTTTGAGTTACGCGTTACCTTTTCAGCCAATGGACAAACAACACATTTGGTCCTATAAGATCATATTATTATTGAATAACGCCCCTGGTCATAACTCCAAACACAACCTCAATTCTACAACCGATGGATCATCAAGTATTTACCAATTTTAAAAAATTGTATACAAAGGATATGTTTTCAAAGCTTTTTTATACGATGAATGCTGATGATTCTATGACCCTTAAAAAATTTTGAAAAACAAAATTTAATATCTTGGAATGAGTTAAATTAGTTGTAAAATTATGTGATGATCTATCCATAAGGGTACTAAAATAGGCATGGAAAAACATGATGCCTAAAATTATTTTTGAAAATAATGCGGCGGTTGATGAAGCTGAAGAAATTGTGATGATCGGTGCATCTCTTGGGTTAAATGTAGAAGTTGATGACGTAAATGAGTTACTAAAATCCTATGATGACATTTCTACACAAGATTTAAAAGCTTTAGAGAAAATGAATGAAAATGTTGACGAATTAAATACGGATGAAGAGGAATCAAATGTAGAATCGAAGATATTTCTTCTAATACTTTGTTATCAATAATTCAAGCTTGGGATTTCCTAAGAGAAGCAATTGTTAATAATCACTTGGATAAAGAAATGGTGGAAGGAGTAAATGAATAAACATTCGTATAAAATTGATTTCTTGGAATATGAGTATGAACATTTTCCAAAGTGTTAATAAGTGTCCTCTTTCCAATAAAAAAACACGTTTTGAACAATCAGTTTTAGTTTTTGAGAAAACAATATTTGAAGTTTTGATAAAATTTTCGATGTTGTAATTTCCTTGTGGAAATATCGCCAATTATTAATTAAAGTATCCTTTTTTTAAAGTTGCTTCGTTAGTTAAATCAGCATCAAAAAGGTTTATTTTGTATCTTGTATCCAAATAATTTGACATGTCTTATCTGCTTTCTTATTAATTTCATTTTTATTCAAATATTGCAATAATGTGGCAATATCAGTTCAGAAATGCACCAGAAGTTATAACCATAATGGCCGGATAGATATGCCGGATAACCGAATATCCGGCCGAAGGGGCTGCTGAATATCTGGTTTTTCGCAAAACCACTATCCGTTCCATCACTATTTTTTCATCTACTATTTTTTTGTAGCAACTTTGAAAATTCCATTAAGAAGAAACTTTAGAACACAAAAAAATAAAAGAAAAAGGCAGACAACTTTAGATGCGTTGGTTATACGCAAAAAAACCTAAAATATAAAGTTCTCCTCAACCTTGAAGTACAATTTTAGAGGATACTATGATACATTTGTAAAGATGTTTTCGTACTGCTTTCGTATCGTGCAGTACGAGCCTAGTAAAATGGATAGGAGATAGTGCGAGAAGATTCCCGCTCCGGAACCTCCTTCTTTGATCCATCAGTGTAGATGTCGATGGTCAGCGTTTTATCTGTGCTAAAGTTGCTCTAGAGCAGGAGTACGAGGAGTACCCAACCTTTTGTATCAACCCCCTCTACTAGTATGGTTCACTTCATCGATCCCATTGCATTTTTTTTTTCAAAAACACATTTATAGTCATTAACAATACAAATTTGTACTTAAATAACTTATTAAGTATTTATAAATAAAATTTTTAGAAAGAACATTGCACAAAATTTCTACCCTGCGTAATTAATATGATGATTGTGCTTGATTCTTGATACAATATTCGATATATTAGGTTTAAAATTACTTAACATTATTTTTCTTTTATTTCTTGTTTTACGCAACAAATTATTGATATGGCTAAATCCTGCTTCCACGGGATAAGAAGAGGGGAAAGTCAATAATAGTTGCTCTGTCAGGACCTGTAAGCGTCGATACTTTTCTCGGATGACCTTTAAATTCCAAAACTTAGCATAACAATGCATTTTGAATAATATTTGTGCTTCCATATCCTCCTTCTATGTAAGCAACTCTTCTTGAATCGTATCATCAATATCAAGTTGAGATATGTCGCACTGCATTGGGTCTATAAGCCATACTTGCACATTCAAATTTTCAATATCCATAAATCGAACATTAAAATCAACTTTGAAATTTTGTAAATGACTTGTATATAATGTTATATCTTCCGCTAAAATGCAATCTTTCTCAATGGTGGATAATAGCTTCAGATTGTCAAAGTATCGAAATTCTTTCCGGTTTAATGTGGATATAAACAAGTCAATCTTAGAACGAAACCCAAAGATCACCGTTCTGGCTTCAATAAGGTTAACGTCTCTTCCTTGCAGTTTATTATGTGTGGAGTTGAATAATGAATAAATATCAGCCAAATAGAAAATGTATTTTTAACTTGGAATAATTGTATCGCCATTTCATTGTCAACATCAAACAAAATCTCCACGACGGTATTAAAAATCTCTATAAAACGCTGCAAACAGTTTCCCTTAGACAGCCAGCGTACTTCTGGGGTATCATCTCAATGCCAAAGTGTGGCTTGTTTAAGAAAGTAGGTGTGATGTAGTATGTGCGATCTTCAAGGAGGTGTTGTTTACGAATAGCCTCACTCCAGAGTTCGCTCCTGACTATTCCCATTTGTACAACCTGCTTATTATCCACTGATCGCAATCGAAGCAATGTTATCAAGTCCCCCTCCCTGATAAATATATGTAGAGGCAGCACGTTCAGCATAGTCTCCATAACAGGCAGGCCAGTAATTGCAATTGATGCAGCGCCCAGCCTTATATGCATCTTTTAGTGCTGAGTACAAAACCATAGCCCCCTACCATGGGTCTTATCACAGAAGTGTAAATCCACATTCGGATTTAATCCTCATGTAGTCCCCATTGCCCTTCTGCACTGGGCGAGTACATTCATTGCTTTTTTGGTTTTGCAAGTAATGTGTGATTTCCAAGTCAGTCCTTTGTCCAAGATATTTCCACCTCTGGAGCAAAGGATAATAGACTGTTGCAGAAATGGGGTTTCCAGTGTCCTGTGTTTGATGAACAGATCAATCTTAGTCTTTTTAGGATTTACAGAGAGCTCTTCAAACCATCATTCAACAAATTCATGAGAGTACTTTGAGGTGAGAATTTTTACAATCAATTGGGATTTTACTTGGGTTAATAAATAAATTTAAAAAAAACACCTTTATTTATTTTTCTATATCGATTTCTTTAATTTTTCTCTATTAACATATAAGATGAGATGATGTGGATGATTATAAAACACATACATACAAATTTAAAGTATTTCGTTTTTTACTTAGTTAAAAAAATGTTTTAAAACCAATTACTTAAGACAAAAAAAGAGAAAATATATGATAAATAAAAGTGGAGGGAACACAAAGAAATCAGGAATTGGCGTTTTAAATCCCTGAGAGACTAAATTCGAAGAATAAAATGATTTTTGGTCCAAAATTAAAAAGAAAGAATTACATGTTTAATTAGAAAGTTAATAATTATTGTGATGAACAGTGAAATTTGAAATAAATTCTAATCTAAGACACATATTAAAGATTACCAGGCGAATATACATCAGCAAGAACAAACATTTTTTTTTATCTCGGTATATAAATAAAATAATACAAATTACAATATGCATAATATATAAACAAAGATGATCTTTTTAACTTTAATTTAACTTAAATGATTACTTAAAAAACATGATTAAATTATTATTACAAAAAATCTTTAAAGTAATGAAAATCTAAATATTAAACAGTCTTCGATGTGTTTTTTCTTATTTTTTTAAACATTAAGAGAGGCTAATTACAGTTTATTAATTTTCTTTTCGTCACTTTAATCCTAATATGTAATTAGTTATGTAGTAAAGTTAGCTTAATAATAATTTCTAATGTCAAATACTGATTTCTAGAGTTACTTTTAACTTCATCTATACAATAATATACAATACACATGATTTACTTTTAATTCATTATTTTTAAAAAGAATTTTTTCTTTTACATTTTTGATATAAATTAGAAAAAACGTATGACTAATTCAAGTTTGGTATTGGTGTACTTTTAATTTCATTAATTAATTTTTTTTGATATTGCATCCTCATTTTACAAACAATACCTAAACGTTTTTATTTTTCTTCGTTTTCCAAATTGCTATTTTAACTTGATAAAAATATCTACAGCAAAAAAATATACAATTCCACAATCTCTTATTTCATTTACACGCACATACATAAAAACGTCTTATGTAATTATTATCCACTAAAAAACATTGTATAAAGACTTACAAAGTACAATTTTTTTTTTAAATATAAAATAACATTATTGCTTAATTAATATTTTTTGCTTAAGTATTTATTTTACATGTTACATCTTATAAATCGAAAATATAAATTAATAACATTATATTTTCTTTTACATTTAATTTACGAAACCGTCGATGAATTCTCGCCCGAAGGCCTCTGTGCGAATAAAACTCCCTCGTAAGCGACTCCGGCTATTTGCATTGTTACCACTAAGGAATTATCACCATTACGACCATCTCCTGCAACAACAAACAAAATATATTTTTAAAATGAACACGTGCAAGCGCGAGGACTAGATATTTGAAGGAAATTAACTTAAGGATATCAATCATCGACATTGGCAGTGTCATCAGTGGAGACAACCAAAAATAACTTCAAATGTTAAATAAAATATATTTTAATTTCAAATATTTTAAATATGGTTTTTTTTAATTTATAATTTTTCTTATTAGTGCATATTATAGTTTTTCTTCAAGTGTTTGTATTTTGTTGGGTAACACCAAAGAAGTATTAAAGAAAATTTACAGCTTTTGTAACTTGTGACATGGATGATGTGATTATATTGAATAAAACTATAAAAGAGCGAATTGGAAATTTACAAGACGTTTTCAACCTTTTCAAGGATGGAGGATGTGTTGAGATCTGCATCAAGAAATACATAAAATATCGTGAAGCTCGACTGATGGAGCTCAGATTGTACTACCTGAACGGCAGTCTTGGATCGAACACGAAAATTCTCTGGTTCAGGCAGATAGTTGCATGTTCTAGGCGGAAGTATTTGCTATTGACATGGATGAAAAATCCTTCTTGAGAGAAGGGTGCAGAACATGACAGTACGCATTTTTCAGACAGTCAAGCCGCTCTCCAGGCGCTGCAGGCCCTGAAAACGGTGTCAGCTCTGGTTAATCTGTAAAAAAACTTTGAACACACTGAGTTGTGATAACAGAGTTTCTTTGATCTGGATCCCAGATCACTCTGGGGTTGCTAGCAATGAAGCGGCAGATGAGCTAACACGAGAGGGCAGCGCTAAAGCGTTTGTGAGGCCAGAGCCAGCAGTTGGTATATCATTTGCGATGGCCAAACATAGAATTGGACTTGAAAGAGAGACTTCGCCTACTGTGGACCAGTTCTCCTGTAATGCGACACGCTAAGTTGTTTATCAACATCGCTACTGCCAAACCCGGGAATATTTTGGGACTTGCTTGTAGACAATTGCAAGACCCTAAAATTAATGAAAATCCTAAATAAGAACAATGAGTCACAAATACAAAGATTTTTTCCTTCGGGAGAGATGCATTGATGAGATAAAAAAATTAAAGTGGCTTACACTAATTGCGAGTCAGTTACTTTCAAGAACTGCAATGAGAATTATCCTGCAACCTTTCAGATGTATGAAGGGCACAAAAAGAATAATTGTAAGCATCTTTACTATAACAATATTCTCCCTCAAGTTCAATATTGCATTAGATACGGTGGCTGTCTAACTCCTAATTAATAAGGATTAATTGAAGCCAACGTTCGGTTTTATCACGATTTGTGGTCGAATACTTTGTAGACCAAAAGAAAAATGACAGGAAGTATAAAACTTGTCAGTTACAGTAGAGATTGTTAACAATTGAGTGGATGATGCAAATCTAAAAATACTTTCCCTTCATGCAAGTTGCTATAACTGATAGAGATTATGTGATGCAGCAGCAAGCGTAAAGGGTGGCTGTTTTTCTTAAGAAATGTCCTAGTTATATAGAGCAAGTTTTAATGGAAAAAGTTCCCAGTACGAACTTTTAATTTCTCGAGAGGTCCATTTCACCAGGTTATAATGTTGCGAAATATAGATTAACACTTAGCATATGGTTAGGAGCAAACTTGCCAGAAATTTTGAACCTTAAACCGATTTTCATGTATCATCGTGCTTTAAAAGGTTTAAGTTAAAACATTTCGTTGGAAATTAAACGAGAAAGTTTGGACTACACGATATATTTAGGTATTAAAGTTTTAAAAGCATCAATTTATCTTGAAATGAAGTTTCAGCAAAATGCTTAAATGGTGTTTGAAAACTTCTACATCGATAGAATATTATTGAAGCCTTTCCCAGGCTTGCTCGTGATGTGAGGTTAGAAGATGTTATAAGTGAAGAGGTGACAGAATTTTGTGAACCCCATGATCTCGAAGTTTGGAATCAAGAATTATACAAAGAATTAGGTTGAGAATACCGGGAGAGAGAAGAACGGAAAAAATAAACTGTAAAAATTACAAAAATGGCAGATCTAAAGCATGTCCTTTCAACTATAGAAAAGTTGGGGGGTGATTTTTATGAATTAGACAACGATTGGGAGCCAGGTGCAAATGTAAAAAGGAGGATCATCGCAAGGAGCAACTTGATTATACGACTTTAAGGACTATGCTTAGACGAAAGGCAAAATACGTAAGATTACAACACAAGATACACGTCCCTAACAAGATACAGATACATTTCCTAAAAATATACCTTCCAGCTATATTCCGAGCTGAACATTATCAAAGTTCTGAACTTCATGTTTTCATATTTTTTGTACTAGCATTATTTCCTTTTTGTATGTATTTTGTGCATACCACAAAATCTGAGATAAAAGAAAATTACTTTATTGTTACCTTACCGAAGCAAGTAAAAAATATACACAGAACAACTCAACCAGACATTACGTAGACATTTTGAAAAAGTCACATGAATCTTGAATATTGAAAAGGATGGTAACCTTTAGAAGGAGAGGATATGTAATAACACTTCACGAAGACAAACGAACCTAAAACAGCAAATGTAAAAAGGTTGATATTGATATGATCAAGATACGAAGGCACTAAAAACAGGTATTAGTTCTTGACTACACGAGGAATTGAACTTGTAATCTAAGAAACAAAGGAACATTAATAGCACAAAATAAGCAAGAATCAATATCTTGATTTGTATGGTCCTATTTAACTGTTATAGTAGCTACTTCGTATCATACTGGAAATGTGTCTGGCCAGGTCCAGAACAAAACTTGTATTGAAACAGAATATTATTACAACAAGACTTAATTTCACATTCATATCCTTTGCTCCTACTTTTTGGGTCTAGCAGATAATTCGTCACATAAGAATTATTTTGAACCATGCCCACTTTTATATTGTATTATATTGCATCATATCCAGACCTGCTAGAGAAGGCAATATTACGCTAAAAAAGCTAGAATTATAAGAGTTACTTTGTACCAACACAGCCTTACTATGTGAAATTATATTGTATTAAGTTTCCTGCGAATGATAACAGAGCATGACTTGGTCTATATAATAGCTTCAATCAGTTACTGACCTTTCCTGTCAGTACGAGTTAAGGATTATGTGGTATTTAGTGGAAAAAGTGTAACAAATAATCAATAATGGATGTATCACCATGATATGATATCCGGGAGGGAAAGAAATCACATTTGGTGAAAATTTTGGACCAAATTGTACCAGATTTTCCAGATTTAACTACAGCTGATAATTTGGTCTGATTACCATATTCCCAAGAATAGGAATATACATAGAGCCTGGACATAGTAATATCCAAGAAGTAGACGCAGTGTATAGTCTTTTAGAAAGAAAACAATGTTTCACCGAATTTTTTGTCCATTAGCACGTCTACAAAAGCTTGTTGTAATGCAGATGAAACCATCAGATTTTTTTTGATTTTCAAACATGAACAAAATTTGCAACACTTAACATATATGTTTGAAAAAATGAAAATCTAAAGCATGATAAGTGTCAAGCCAGAGAGTATTACTCTACAGTTTATGATCATATCAAACCACTTCCTAAGAAGTGAAACCATATTTATTGCCAATTTAGACATATTTTTGAAAAGATGGGTACTAGAAAGATGTTCGATAAAGAGTTTCATGAAGTGGTGATTGGAGCGTAATGCCCTTTAACGTCACATTGTAGTATGTTCAGGTATTTCTGAAATAAACTATTATACAATTAAAATAAATAAATTACTTAATTTGAACGTTGTTTTAAGAGTAGTTAAGATAAATGTTTTAAACTGTTGAAATTTATATTTTGTTGTTTTGCAAATTTTGAAATAATTTGCATATTTTTCGGTAATTAGATGCACACACAGAGATGGCACCTGACACCCCAAAAATAAACGGGCGGCAGCGAGACTTCTCCTTCTTCTTAGCCTTCTAGACACACAGTGCATTTTGGCACCGGTTTGAAAGCGTCCATCATTTATCACTTGAAACCGTTCGACTAGAAACTCGGATTGACGTGTATAAAAATTTTTGGTGTACGGTTCCAAATGACCCAAGGCACAAATAATGTGAAATAACTATTATTTGTTACCATTTTAAAGTACTCAAGTAATTTTTAGTTGTCAAAAATGTTCAAAATTGTAATTTAGTGCCAAATGGAATAGCTTCAAATTTCAATTAAGAAGAGAATTTTAAGTTAGTTTAATTACTTACCTCGACTTTGAATTGAAATACTCGTACTAATAGGTAAAACAGGTACGGGAGCTCCATTTTCCATTTTAATAAATTTCCTAGGTTGAAAATCTTCATCCGGATCATGACCATCATCACCATCTTCTTCTTTACCACCTCCACTTGTCCCTGGAATCGGTTCAATAATACTTGGTCCACTACCATTACCACCAGTACTTTGATGATTATTTTCATCGGGTTCAGGTGTTGCTGATAAATTTAAAGCCTCCCTTTGCGGTTCGGCTAAAACAGCAGGAACAACTCCTTGAGACGGTGGTGGCGGCTGAGTTTGTTGTTGATTATTATTCCCGGCACTTTGATTATTATTGTTATTATTGTAATAACTCCACCATTTTGATAAATCAATTCCTGATGGTCCCGCAATGGGATTTAACGGCGCTCCATTCGTTAAAGCCGTGGTAGTCGGAACTACAACGTTATTTCCATGTGTATTTGGAGTGTTCGTGGTCGATGATGCCGCGGCAACATTCCTAATGTATTCCAACATACGATGTTGAAATTCCATTGTAACGGAATTGTTCATGGGATGTAAAGGATTTCCGTTTAATTGGGGCACCAACGGTGGCGATTGATGCGCGATATGATGTGGACCATTATGCAAACCTAAACTCATTCTAGCTGCTGCTAATTGTTGCTGTTGATGGATATTCATCGAGATCGGACTCATTTGTTGTTGATGATTTGGTGAACGATTACTCGGACGATTGTAATTTACATAACTTCCGCGTCTTCCTTCGCGCCTATTTCCATCAATAGCCGTTTGAAGTTCATCCGCCGTACTAAATTGTCGTTTTTCACACTCGAATGCGTATAAATATTTCATATATCTAAAAAAAAAATAAGAATAAATCAAAATAAATTCAAGAAAAATAAAAATATTTAATCGTTTTTTTAGGAAATCGTAACTAACACCTGGTCAAAAAAGTTTCTTCTTTTTAACCACGAGATCGATTCGTTTGGACCGAAAAGGAAAAGCCCCCCCCTTGAAAAAAAAGGTAATCCGTCTTGAAAGGATTGAAAAAGGACCATCGCTTTGATGGTCAAGGAGTTGAGGACGTAAAAATCTCTTCAAAGGAGAACGCGAAGAAACTAAGACGAGATAGACGAGAAGAAGAGGGACAACCGAGTGATTTACGATGTGGACGTCAATAAAAATTTAAATCGTGTGCTATAAAGTGATATGGTTTTCGAAAAAGAATTTACTAAAAGAAATAATAATAATAAAAGGAATTAGAGATTGAGGTTGAAATTGAAAATTGACGAAAATTGAATAAAACATTAAAAAATGCTTTAAATCTCTAGATCTCTAGGAACTAATAAACAGTGAACCTTAACATTTTTGTCATTGTGAAGTTATGTGGCAAATTTAGCATAAAGATCTTAGCTTGCAACTTGCAAGATCAAATTAACTCAAGAAGTGAAGCCATTTAAAACTTTTCCGGTTGGGCTCTACTTAAGTTTGAACAGATTTCTCAATTTCATTTTCAGCGACGAAGCTCATTTTTGATTGCATGGCTTTGTCAATAAGCAAATATGCATGATTAGACTGCAACATGCAACATTTATTGAAGCACATGTGGGTGTGCTTCAATAAATTCCATTACAACGACGAATAATGACCGTTTGGTGTGGATTTCATCCCAGAGGTGTTATTGGACCCACTTTTTGATCGATGAAAATGAATAAAATTTGTTATGTCAATGAAGTTCGCTATGTTGTAGTGCTATGTTGGAAGATCAACCCAACCCAGTCTGACCTAACTCAACCCAACCCTTAAATGTTTTTCATGATCAACGCAAATAAACCATAAAATTTTTATCATGGTAAAGTTCATGAACTATGGCGAATTTTGCATAAAGATCTCAGCTTGCAAATTGTAAGATCAAATTAACTCAACAAGTGAAGTCTCTTATTCATCAAACAAAAAACTTTTCAAGTTGGGCCCTGCTAAAGTTTGAGGAGATTTCTGAATTTCATCAAAAATCATTTTCAGAGATGAAAAGTGGTCGTGTGTTGTGGATTTCATGTCGGAAATGTGATTGGACCAAATTTTTTTTCGATCAAAATGATCATGTTGGAAGACCATTTTGGTCTGAATTGGATGGACTTTGCATTAGTGATGTTGTAGTTCCAAACAAGGTAATTCCATATGTCACAACACCCAACAAGTTGTGGACACAGATAATGAGCAAATTTGAAATAAATATTTTGTTTGAAGAAGAAGAAAATTACCATACACTGTTATGACAGAATAGACTCAAATCACTAGATTTAAACTAACTTTAATACCTCTCTCGACCAACCTTTTTAGACTAATCACAAGCAAGATATAGAAGGCAAAAAAGATATTTTCCTAATATCAGCTGTTGTCCATAAAATTTCTTACATCAAATTCTTTAATCTTTTTTAATATTTGTTTGTTTTTCAGAAAAATTTGAAATTTAGTATAAATATACAGGTAAGGTTGCGTTTATTTGTGTGTAAACAAAATTTGACAACATTTTTAATTAAGCAGTAGTGCTATTGCTGGTATATTACGTTCTTTTTTCTTCAGATTTCTTATATTTAGCCTTTTTTTGCCTTTTTAACTTTACATTTTTCTATCTTTGTATTTCTGTGCTTCATTTTATTTAATTTAACCTCTATAGTTAATTCTAGCAATCTATGTGATCATAATTGCTAATGGTCTTAAGTTTGAATCGACTTCTATTGTAATCCAGATAAGAGAGGTCATTGCCTTTTCTTACAATCAGTCATTAAATGTTACGTAGTTATTTTTTGATTACAAAACAAACAGCCAAAGTAAAAATTGTACTTCCAGATAGCCTGTGATATCTAGATCAATCAACCATTAAGTATCCAACATGTCCCAAGATGTCAATACAACTCTCCAAAAGGCTATGAGACGATCAAAATTTCTGTACACCTTTATAAATACATTCTAATTGTAAATATAGTGTAGACTTTATACAAAGCATTGGCCCTGTATAATTTGCACTGTTGTGATGGTTTTTGCAACACATTTTTGTCAGCTACGAATACATATCGGATTCAGAAAATACAAAATTCTTACTTGTGTTTTATTTATGAAGCTCCAAGATGGTGTTGTAGTCAAATAATATTTTTCATTGATTCACAGTCCATAACTTATATTTGCGTCAAAATTTAGTACTTGATAATGAGTCGAACTACCAACACTGATAAGTATTCGGCAAGCAAAAAAATCAATTTTAATCAGTTCAAATTAATTTGCAGAGTACATCTTATATTTTTACTCCTAATAAAGTGCGATACAACACAATCAATCGTACAGGTGACTTATTATTTTTTGCTTTATTATTGAGCATTATTATAGATTCAAATTATTTTATAATATTTGTTCTCATATGGTTAATGAGTCGAGTTTGAATATCTGGCACCATATGGTAATTAAAACCTCTGCAAATTTCCTATTAAATTCTGTGTTTGCTTCCGTAACCAGTTTGATGTGCGAAATAAAGCTTTACTTTTAAAATTGTTGAATTGTATCAAAAAATCAAAAATAGCCAACGTCAGTAAGAATTCCTAGCTATCTGAGCTAGATTGCGATTGTGCCAAAGAAATTTGTAATCCTTCATCGATATCTCGATTGGTCTCGGATTCTCTCTCATCAAATATAAAGCCTCATGATATGTCCATACAACAATTATTTATATACTGATGTTACGAAACTTTGTCTTCAATTACCGAGGTGTTTATTTTTCCTATAAGGTATTAAGTCTTAGTATATAATCAGAGTGTTTTTTTGTATATTTCTTATGCATTTTATGTTTGACGATCTCGATTGCAGCGGATCGGCCGCAATTGACCTTGGCTTAAAATAAATTTTGCGTAGGATGGAAATACAATAATTACATTTGTACCAAGGTCACGAAGCATGTTAATGAAAGAAACTTTTTAGTCTCGAACTTTGATTATATATAATATGGATTGAGCCAACGAGAGAGATAGCTTGCGCAAGGTGATCGAACCGAGATAGACATAGAAGCGTACTGCCATATAATGGGTGTACTGATAGAAGTGAGATAGATATAGAAGCGTACTGTCATATAATATATCTATCTTTGTTACACTTTCACATTATCGCTTTCCATCTGCGTCTATTCACCTTGAGCAACATTTTTGTTAGTAGATATATTCAGTTAGCTCAATCCATATTATATATAATCAAAGGTCTCGAACTTCTTTATTTAGCTCCTCGGTGATAAGCGACCTTGAAAGTTATCAAAAACATTTCTTTTCTACATTTACAATAAAGAAAAATATAGACAACCACTATTACATTTACGTTCAAAATAAGTGGAATTTTGTAAATTTGCGAAATTCGTTGTGTAGATTAAAAAATTTTAGTTATAATTATTATGGGGTGCCCCCAAAACAAAAAATTAATTGTATTTTTGAGAGTTAATACCATTTAGAGTTTTTTCGAGTTAATTTTTTTCTTTCTGTTCTTGTTCGAATATAATATTTTTGTGTGTGTGCGCACGTTCGGATTTAATTACCATCACCGGGAAATTGGAAAAGGAGAAAAACAGATTAATAATTATAATAACAGACCCTCGGCCGTCGGGTCCGGTCGTTAAAACCGGCGATAAAATGATATTTCATTTCGTTGCGTTATTATTGGCCGGTCTATTTGGTTAAGAGAGAGACCCCGTTTACCAACCTTAGCAACTGAACGAAACGCACCGAGACGACCAAACCAACTTTTTTCCCTTCTCTTTTCATATCACCACTCCTCCATCATTCCTCACTCACTCTTTCATTTTCCCCCCTTTTTGCTTTTTCATCCTTTACGTTCATTAGTCGACGTGCAAATGAAGAGATTAGATCGTTAAAACGTGACTGGATATTGTTCCCCCATTTAATAATAACTCACCTCCCGTTTTATAATTATTCTGCCTATTATAAAAGCACTCTTTTCTTTATTATACAATTACACTCCCCTTCAATAGTTTCAATACAAAACCCTGTTATTATACACCTTAATAGCTTCTTCATATAAATAATTAATAAGGTTGGCTTTGAACCAATGGGAATTAAATTTTTTGAAAGCCACGCCTATTATTATGACGTTACTAAGGCAACAACCAATGGAATTGCGTCAAATCGAAACAAAGACATATATGATTATTTGAAGTAGTTATCAATTAATATGAAACAAAGGTAAATAACTTACTGTGTTCTTAATGTAAACGCAGCTGATGTGATTGATGATGGTAGATGAAGACCTTTAATGATTTCTTGCCACAGCTTTTTGTTGATGACATCTACGAGTCCACCTCTGGCTATCACCAAGTTGTAAAGTTCGTATAAGTCGAGTACTTGTTTGGCCATAATGGGAAGTCTATTGATTGGAGAACCTGCAAAAAAATGTTTTAATACTTTTTAGTATTCCTATTGATTTTGATGTGAGATGAGTTTGCTGGTTGTTGGTTGCGGAGAGTTTCATACAAAGGCTAATAAAACGTTGTAATGGCGGAATGATAAGTCGTCAACACCCTTTGCGGCTTACCGAAGGCATAAATAACACTATACATCTTTACGAGTTTCCATCTAATCAATCGGCAGGTTCCGTGCAGTTACTTTACGACCGGTGTTTGCATGTTTATGCCCCCCGCGCGCGCGCTCTAACGCCAAAAGAAAACTGTGCACGCGAAAAAATGCTAAAAAAATATACTTTAAATACATCGTCATGTTACGCTTATTGCATCCTTATCGAAACGATTTTTAGTACTTTTACAAGAATTAACCTCAAAAAAAAAACTGGAACACGAAATGGTTACAAAAAGAATATCAGATTAAAATTAGAATATTACGTTAAAAGGAAATCAAGTAAATAATAATCTTTTAAGACTATTTTCCAACTTGCAACATTAAAGTCGTTAATGTGTTGCGGTTAGAGGTCGTAAGAAATCGTCGTTGAGACTGGACGAAGACTGAATATGGCGGCGTAAACGTCAACGCAAGCCGGTAACTTATGGTTTCAACGGCGTCCGAGGTGCGGCGCGTTCATCTTGGAGCCATCCCCTCGTGCTTTCTCTATCGCTCTCGTCGCGGCTTTTACGATGACGATGATTTCGTCTTGTATAGGGGGCGTTCGCGAGGAGCGCACGCTCTCTGCCCGATCAAAGAACCGACAAACGGACACTGTGCCCATTTTGTTGCACTCGACTTTGATCTGGACCCATTAAAAATTACTGTCTTTCGTTCTCAGAAAAGTCTCTATTTCTCTTTGTAGTAGTAGAAACCTTTAACATGTACACATTTTATTTTGTGTATAGTATACACATTCAAGTTATTTTTTTAAAGATGGCGTAATTTAAAAACCACCAAATAACAAAAAAAAAAACAAAAACGCTCGTATAAATTTGTGAATTGTATAAATCGTTTTTGATGTCTTAATTTTGGGAAGTTTTGATGAACACAAACAGATGTTGGTTGGTTGTGGATATAAACCGGTGGATGTGGTTGTGAATATACACGTCGGTGTATGTGTACGTGTGTTTGCAGACAGCAGATGGACAGAGAGACATTGAAACATAACACATCTAGACTAAAATCTAAATATAAAATTTATTCAGAAGACAAAGTAGAACTAATGAATTTCTATTTCTGGGTTCGTTGAAGGGTGGTGGGATATATGAGTGGTAGTTGGAAATCGGAAGGAGAGGCAAAGGGGAGTTGGGTTTTTGATGTAAAGGGAAAGGAAGAAGGGAAACGAGGTGAGGAGAAGATGTGTGAGGGGGGTGCCAAGAGGAAGGAACGCGTTCGGGACGAAAGTACGTAATTAAATCACAGCTGGAGCGATTTATTTCGTTTTACGAGCTTGGGGCGATCAAAAGAGCCGCGCCATATTCCGGGAATCTAATAAGGAGGGGCGGCGCGTACGGTTTTAAGACCGTTTATGGTCTAAAATTTATTTTTGATGATGAATAAAATTGTCTTGAAATAACAAAAATTTATAATTATTACAAATTTTATCATATTACAGAAAAAGCGCGGTATAACACATTAATACGGGGAAGGCAGTGCCCATTAATGCTAAAAGTCCATTAAATAAGAAATTTTAAATAATAACTAAAACTAGAGCTTACACTAGCAATAGAACTAACACTAGACTTAGAACTAGAAACACTAGACCTAGAACTAGAAATATTCGGGTTTAACGTCCAAAGCTAAACCCAAAACTTTGTAGTTCTAGGTCTAGTGTTAGTTCAAGTTTCTATTTATATACCTCATGTGGGTACAGAAACAGGTCGAACCCAAAAACACTGTACCACAAACAACCAATTGTATGCAAATAAAATTACAGTTAATATTAATGGTACAAAAGTGAATCAAAAGGAAAAAACTAAGTCTAGATGATATAACTATATCATATATCAAATATCGAATGAACGCTCGAGGTAATACACCAACTGCAGCAAAGAGCAGTTTTTTAAATGCATAGAAAGAATGCTGAAACAGATCTATGTTAACACGATTTGTTGATCTTGTCATTTTCAATAAAGGAGAGTTTTGACAGGCATTGGTTCTAGGAGTAGGTGTCATAAATAGAAAGTCAAAGCGAAGTAATCTCGGAGGAACATGAACACATATAGAACCAACAAGCATTGGAGAATCACACTTGATGTTCAAAAGTTTGTAAAAATATAACATATCCCCACAAAAGCGACGCTGGTTGAGGGTTAACATACGAAAAGAAGTGCAAGTTGATTCGTAATTTGAGGAATTTAGATTGAATACGCTCAATTCTAGATTTATACGAGAGATACTGAGGATTCTAAACGACGTTGCAAAAGTTAAGTGTGCTGTAGACATAGTCAAAATAGAGATTTCTAATTACATCAATGTTAGAAAAAGCTAACGTGGATCTCATAATAAATCCTAAAATACGCCAGGCTTTGGGATGTTTATCAAATAATAATTTATAATCAAATGTAACACCTCTCACCAGCGACGCTATAATTATAGTGGATTATGTTCACTCTCCTAGAGAAGGAAATAGTATTACACTTTGATAAGTTTAATGATAGGTGATTATTTAAGCAAAAAGCATGTAGATTGTTTAAGTCAGATTGCAGTCTAGAACAATCAAGAGGTGAGGAGAGTTTTAATTGTTATTCAGCGCTAGATTGTTGTATAAACATAGAACTAGAAACATTTGGGTTGGGTCATGGAAAGATGTTTTCTAACTCTCTATATGTATATAAATTGGGATTTCATATCGCATGATGATTTGACTGCCAATCAAAAGTTTGATAAATTTCATGACCTTATTCTTCATGCATTTCATAGCGCATTTCTTGAAAAAATAATTAAGCTAGTTTTCTGCTCTCAAGGGCATGAGAAATTAATCGCTTGCATTTCTTAAGAGATATTCACAATGCCATAGGTTGTGAGAAACTAAAGCGTGAACTTAACTTTCTGACAAAAAATTATAGAGAGGATGCTAAATTTAGATATAATGATGAGATTTTAAAACAAAAAAAATATTCATGTAAGTATGTATATGTGGAAGATAGTGAACAGTCATTGAATTAGCAAGAAAAGTAATACTAAAGCAATGTTTGTCCCAAATGAAGTAAATGATTATTTTATAAATGTTGCCCTAGATCTTGTTAATAAAATTCAGCGGGGTAACTTGACAACTAACTTTAATCAGCTACTATCTAATATCACTGTACCATCTAGGAAATTCTGCCTGGAGCCGAATTGAGGTTCGTGGTATAATCTGCTCTTTAAAAAATACTTCTTCTAAGTAGAGATGTATACGGATTAAATGCTATAATATTAGCTGATAAAAGATTTAAGTATCATCACCTTTAACAAAATTAATCAACCAATGCATGAGAGAAAATACTTTTCCAAATGCTTTAAAGTTAGTATTGGTAACTCCTGCCTTTATGAAAGGCGATCCTCTGGCAATAGAAAATTATCGACCAACCTCACTCCTGTCTGTATTCTCAAAAATTTTTGAAAGTTCATAAAGAATAGAATTGTCGATTTCTTTGAAAATAATAACTTGTTCGCGTCATTTCAATATGGATTTCGTCAGAATCGTAGCACGCGAGACGCAATTATGGATTTTGTACAACAGGCAATAAACTGTTATGAGAGAGATGAGTATATGATAACTACGTTTTGCAACCTCAGTAAAGCCTTTGATTATAGTTATAATAGTCTGTTGTAATGATCGCTATTCTACATCAGAGTGCATTTCTATTGGCGTTCCACAAGGATCAGTGTTGGAGCCACTGCTTTTCCTTATTTACATAAATGACTTGCTTCAATATCTAAATCTTCAGTCATATTCTACTCTGACGACACTACTTTAATCAGCAGACATAAAAATCTCATTGATGCTGTTGTAGTAAATCGGGCGTCGCGTTCTGAGGCTGAGGAGTGGTTTGCGTGCCTAAATCTGAATTCCAACAAAACAGCTGAAGCTGGCTTTACACTAAGAGGCATTCAGCCAGATCTGATGGATGAGCAATTCATAAATTTTTTGGGTGTTCTCTTGGACCCCACATTGAAATGGGAGTATACTTTGCGAAAAGCTGAACAGGAACATTTTTGTACATTTTAGGTGGCAATGTGTCGGGACCGGTGTTGAGAACTGCTTACTTTGCACCGTGTCAATCGCTATTGTCATATTCTTAGTTGGCCTTGGGAAACTGCTCGGGTTGGTTTAGGATTTTTCGGCTGCAGCGTAAATAAGAAATGCACAAGCTGGTTTCCTGCAGATCTCAAGGACATGAGGAATCGCCTGCATTTTTTAAGAGATATTCACAATGCCACAGTTTGTCATATGAGTCATATGTGGTTTGAAGTATCGAGACGGGTGCCGTGAGTTTTTTATAGATCAGAAAATACTAACATTTCCCTCGCTATTTATATTAGAGTGTCTGCTGTATTTGCACAATAATGTAGATACATATACTGCCCACAGAGATATACAGAGTTACAGAACTCGTAACAATCATAAGCTAAAACCTAAATTTTCCAGACTTTTTAACTCACAGAAAGGTGTAGGTTTGGGTTTTGACAACATCAGTTCATAGAATGATGACCTACATGCGATTTTACTATGTATTGTGTGCTTTCTTGTTTCGTTTTTTTTTTGTAAGTGTTTTTCTATATGACGAGTGTAAAAAATATGTATTTTATTTCTACCAGGTTTGATTTATAGATCGTATAGACAACTCGGGGAATACCCCGAGTTTATCTATGAACATGGAATAGAGCAACTTGGGACTAACTTAGCAACTAAACTAACACTTGTACAGGGTTCGGCAAAACTCCTTTCCTAATTTGAAGGTTGAATAAAAAACAGATGGTACAAATTAACACGAATCGA